TACATGTATAACCGGTAGCAGGAAAAAACGGGTACGGGTTACCTTTTACATACCAGCACTTAAAAAAGTATTTGCAAAGACGGGGCAAATTTAAAATGTACTCATATACACTGTACATGTTTGTAAGTTTCTATTAGTTGTTAACTAATACTTATGCCGTCCTCTCTAGACTCTCCATCCGAGTCTAGTTTGGAAACTTGATTTATTCTCCTTTGCTGTCAGGTTCGGCCTCACTGTTCTCTGTGCTGCCCTGATGAGTCCACAAAGGACGAAACAGTTCTGTCCGCAGATTGAGTAACCCTGGGGTTATGTACTCTTTGTATAGTGTACACTTTGTATAGTGTACACTGCATAACTATGACGTACTACATGTGTAGTAGCTGTATCATCGTTATCCTAATAATAATAATTGTGTTGTCGAAGTATTCGTAGCTGAACTCGGTCAGACATCGTATCTAGACTATAGGTTTCCGAGGCTGCAGTTCACATCCTGTCCGACTGAACTCTTTAAAAAAAATCATCACATGCAATGATTCTTATGATTGTGCATGCTTTCATCCAGAATTGCAGGTGACCGGTTAAAAGAAAGTCTGCACAGTGTTCGTACTGTGCAGACACTGTACTGAAGAGAGGCTTCCAGAACATCACACGGCTCTTTTCTTCCAATTCTATTGCAATTCAAGCAGCATATGGAGGAGATAGTTATTAGGTACTAGAGGCTGGAGGAGATAGTTATTAGATACTAGAGGCTGGAGGAGATAGTTATTAGATAGTAGAGGATGGAGGAGATACGAAAGAGAACAAACAGGAGAGGCAGACGGACGGGTAGACGGACAGACTCTTCAGTGACCGTCGAGTCCTGCTTTCGTATGTTTTACAGTCATGCAGGTCACGGAAAGGTATAAATTATAATAGTACATACCGTCACCAGACTATTCCTGTTGCGTACTGCCAGTATAGTACAGTAGTACACAATTGCTATCTCCATTTACTAGGCATACAGATACATAGACACACAGGCAATCTGGCAGATAAATAGAGACTATGGACAGCATTGCGGATGTCCAGCCATTCTCAAAGATCAGTCTAGTTTCAAGTTCTTGTATCGCATCGCTGATGCTCCATACTTGCGCATCAAGTCTCGGAGGAACTCCATCTTCAGAGTACTCATGCATTTCCGATAGCTCCACTTCAAGTGATATTTGGCCACGTCTGGAGACGGAGCGTGTGGCATGTGGATAATGAACGTGTGGGGAAGGACATAGAAGTCGTACAGCTGAGCATTGAGCTCCATGATATGCGAGACTTTGTTCCAGCCAAAGCCAACAAAGCGCATGTCGTACCGAGTGACATTGGACGGAACCACAACGTATGGCTCGAAGCTGGCAGCCCACTTCACCCGGTATGGAGCAGTACTGGTCCTCCATCTCTTAAAGTCCGTAGGAGCATGACCCTGGGGCCAGACATGATAATGGAAAGAAAACACCTGCTCCTGATCCATCATTCGAATGAGAGCGGACTTCGACTTTGGAAAGTCCCGGGTGCGATAATTCAGGATTTCAAATGCAGGCACAATCAATGCTTTCCGGGAATTCTCTGGCTCAAATTCTGCCAGAGTGGCCCTGATATCATTGTACATACCGTACCTAGGCAGGAAGTCAATATCAGACAAGAACACATACGGTTGACGTACTTCATTCAATGCCACATTGCGCAGAAAGTTCACCGGGTGGAAGCCATCGGCTTTGTAGACAACATGGATGGCGATGTTGGTGCGGTCGGAAATGACCTTCGATTCATTCGCAAACTTCAAGAACTGCTGCAGCTCGCTATCGGAGACGAACAGTGCCAAACTCATGGGCCCTTTCCACCTGAGGCACAACGCTTCCAGAACGTGCAGGCGATCCATGGAGAGCTGAGCGACCAGTGCAACGTCAAACGCCTTGGGCTCTGGCCATTTGTAGTTCATGTAGAACAGATGCGTGCGGTAGGTCAATGAGCTAGCTTCACGGAATTTACTACAGCTGCCCTTGTTGGCTGTTTGGTCCAGGGTACCTGTCCTATGCAGGCCGGGGCCAGGGTAGCCTGCTGAATTGGATGATGAACAGGTGGAGGGCAAGCGCTGCCGTAGAAGATTACCATTGTATTCCAGAAAGGTGGTATGCAGGCTGCGAAAGAAGTTGATGTTGTTCAGCTGGATGTTTTGTTTCCTCGGAGATGTCCAGTGGAGGATTTTCAACTCCGATAACTTGGAGAAGCAGACCTCGCTGATTGTTTGCTTGCTGAGTTGCAGGTTCCATGTGCATGGCAAGGTCATATGCAAGTAGGGGTAATCCTTGATCACAGCATTGATGATGTCCTGATCGGTCAATGCCCGTAACACTGCGCCACTGGTGTCGGTAATCTTCTCCACTACAGTCTTCCAGACTTGCATCCAGGATAGGCGTCTGAGCTCGTTAAGCCGCATCAGCATCACGCCTGTGTCGTAGCCTCCGCCCAACGTGGCCCACGGGCGTCCCGCGTACAAGTCACTCTGGCTTTCAACCAAACCTATTGCCCTGTCCTGTGCGGCCAACTCCTCGAACAACCACCAGAGCTCAGCTATGTCGGCGGCGAAGGTCAGATCAATGTTCAGGGCGATCACCTTCTCCAGCTCCTGAGGTAGAACAGATGCCAGGAGAAGCTTTGCCACTTGGCTGGGTTTGAACTCGTGTCGGTTTGGAAACCACGCTACCAGCCGCTGAAGGCCTTCCGCTGGGTAGTAGGAGACGCGAACGCCAGGTATCTGCCATGTCCTAAATAGTGTACCTAGCACTAGTCGTGCGTCCTCGTCGGAAATGAAATGAAAATGCACCGGATTATTTGTGTAGAAAAGACTAGACTTGATCAATGGTACAATGTCGCGACTTTGCTCGAAACCGCTACAAACAATAGCCACATGTATCTCCTCGCACGGAGACGGGGAGAGCCGCTTTGAACAGTTCGTGCCAGGCCCGTCACGTCCTCGCCATCGATTCTCCATTGTCATGCGTACATCACCGTTGGCAGTGATCTGACCTCCGACTGCTCCCAGTGCATCATTATCATCATCATCCAGCAGCGTATAGGACGGCGAATTATACGCCAGTAGTATCCAGAAAGCCACGAAAATGAGAACCCCTAAGGTGAGCTTGGTGATCGGCGGCGGCCGTGCCCGCCATGGTGATGCCATCTTCCCATTAGCAGCAACCATTACGGATTGGCCAACGAGCAGCACATGTTTCATCAGCAAGACGGAAGGAGAGTAATCAGGACGCCCAACGGCAGCAGTCCATAGATCTACACCCAACCCTGTACACGGGGCAGCACTGTAAGCGAACAGACTAAAGACGGCTGGGAAACTGCAGACTAAAGACGGCTGGGAACTGCAGCGAACACACCGCAGGGCGGTGGCAATATTGCAGACCAGTTTCTGGGGAATGAATATTTGCCTTTCCGACGATGATCAGGTAGAGGAGGAATAGAGGCCTGAGGGAGACAAGCCGTCAGGATCTGATTCCTCACTGGTTCATTTTGTGACCTTGCAGTTAGTTGTCAGCCTGCGTATTCACACCTGACTCTCCGGTTAGTCAACTAGGCAGCGTAGTAACGCCTAACGCCAGTAAGTTAGTTGAGTAACGGTGGTGGGAGCTGACGACCGTGCTAGTTTGCGGCGGGAATTGCTTTCCAGATACACACTGCACGTGTCTCCTAGTTCCACCCCATGCCAAGCGCCATGCCCTTGCGATCAGGAGCACGCGGCGGCTGTACTATGGCGATGGGATGTCGCGCGGACTGCGCTGCAAACGCAATGCTCGGCGTGCTGGCAACAATAGACTAAGTAAGTAACTTTAGTTCAAGAGAAGCCAACATGCGAGCAAGACCTGGTCCATATCCATACAAGCACTTTCTAACACTAACAGTGCAATTGACTATGAAATGCGCGTAGAGTAGCGGTAGTGGGAAGTGGGAAGTGTAGGTATTACTACTAACCTATAAGTTACTAGTATGATACTGAGGTGTAATACGGGCAGGCATGCTGTTGAATGCTGCGACGCGCTGACAGTTCTAACTTCTAGGGAGAAGTCCTGAAGGTATGGTCACGCTTTCTTCAGTCCCTAACTGGTAATAGATGTTAATTGGCTACTGCCCTAGGAGTCGAGTACATAATTGTACCAGCCATACTTCAGTGGAGTCTGCCGACCCTGAGAACTAGCCATTGAACTAACCATTGCTCGTTCCTTTGCCACGGCTCGCACTGCTAGCTGTCTGCATTGGCACACGTCATAGCTAGCTAGGACGGGGCTAGATGTAACTTTCTGCCAGCTGCCATCGCCAAGCAGGCAAACTAGGTGGCGGCGAAAATAGCTATGTCAGCTAGGGCTGCAGCTAGCTAGCTACCGATTGGCTCGTTCATGATGAGGGCAGGTACTAAGTAATAATAGTTAGGTAGGCCTAGGCCAGGGCTGGTATGGCGGGTAAGGCATGCAGCCGGAACTGCCGTGTTGCTGGTAAAAAATAGAGATACATGACTGTACTACCCAAGACTAAAAGGGAGCACAGAACGGCTTTTGTAACTACTAAGGACACACGTCAGGCTCACTACAAACATCTTGAAAGTTTTTGTCTTCACAAGTATACTTTCAAGATGTTTATAATGAGCCTGAAGTGTGTCCTTTTTATGAGTATTATCGCGACAGGTGAAGACACTTGGCTCACTGTACGGCTCCGGGGAGGACGTAACGCGCCGTATTGGCTTGGCTGCAAGAGCATTTGGAGACACTCTGAAGTTATGGTTCAAACACAACCTGCTTTCTACACCCATTAAAATTCGTTTATACAACACTTTCGTTCTACCAATCTTGACCTACAACCTTGCTTGCCATGGCCTGTCCCGTGCACAAGAAAAGCGCCTAGATGTGTTTCATAGGAAACAGCTGCGGTGTACCCTTGGAATTACCTACCCAGATGTCATCTCAAATGCAGATTTATGCTGTTACTGGCCAGTGCTCTGTATCTGAAATGGCCAAGCGGGACAGGTGGAAGCTATTAGGACATAATTATATTACGCCAGCCAAGTGACATCCCTGCAAATGTTGCTCTCACTGCTTTCTGTACATATGCTACCAGTCAGCCCTTTCGAATAGGTGCACCCCGCTCTTGCCTCACCACAAGTCTCCAGCGAGACGTCCGCCTCACACCTATCTGCATTTTTAAGCCCAGCTGCCTTCGTGATCTCGGCACCTAGTACCTATGCCCGCGACAGAAAACAATGGAGTAACATCTGCTCAGCCATTAATATTTTAGTCTAGTACTGCTCTTCTTAAATTGGACCTTTATTACAAGACTCTTCTTTTCTTTTTCATTTCGTTCTCCCACTCTCACACACACATGCTCACAGTTAATTCTGCCGTCGTGAGTCCCATTCGGGACGGATACGAGAATAATTTAATATAATAATAATCGCATTTTTGTCTCAGAGGAAATTTTCGTTGTTGTTGTCGTTGAAATGAGTCACATGGTTTAGGAACGTTACGCAACGAACACCTCATCAATTTTTCATGATTGCACTGTGATCAGGAACGCTGGATATACGCCCCACACTAGGCCACAGTAATATACATGTAATACTAAGTCTTATCACTCCCTTAGTATTGACTCACATAGATTTTTGCCATACCTAAGCAGTCAAATATTCCTGCATATTTCACTCCTTAGGGTTATATTGACTGCTTATATTTGACTGCTTAGGGGTTGCGCAGATGAACGGTGCCTAGTGCAGCATTGTCACTGCATGAGTAGGTGGTGGTGCAACGGTTGTGCAACCATAAAACCGGGATTCATGAGGTTATCGTTCTGGAATTTGAAATACGGACTGTTTGTCGTGATAAATCTAATATTGACTTCGTACTTGGTCAGTATAGGAAATAAAACCTCGTAAAAGACCTCGGCTTCGCCTCGGTCTTTTACTCGGCTTTTATTTCCTATACTGACCTCGTACTCAGTCAATATTAGATCCTTATTATCTAGCGATCCGAGCTTGTGTCGAAGTGCCGCCATGAGAACAAAATATTGAAATAATACTTGTCAAATTTTGTCACCTGATTCAATCACGCGAAATAACATCAACTGCTAGCTTTGTTACCTAATTCCACGAGAATATGTTGCGTAGCAATGCACAGATAACTACACGTACATGTAAGTTAAGTGACGTAACACTTTCTCACACACTCCATATTGCGCTACATATCACATGCTAATTGTTACGCTGGGCTTGCCACATTCATGGTACAGCTGTATATAGCAGTACTTTCAGGGCGCCGGGCAGGGTCAGTATCTAGATATTTTCGTCTGCTGCATGCTGATCGATTCAGTTCGTGAAACTCAGAGTTACGAAAAACACAACTGCTCGTCCTTCTGTCTCTGTACCTATTATCTAGAATGATTAGTATGCCAGTAATTATGGACGAGCTTGGTTGTCTGATTACTTGTACCATGATGTATTAGCAAGCCGAACGGACTGAACAGATCATCGAATGACAAGGAAGCGAATCTTGGAGGTCTAGCCATTGGCGGAGTATGCTGGCATAATTTCTGGTATAATCTTCCGGTTTTGTCTAAACATTATACCGTGCTGGCATTAAAGGGCTTCTGAGACCAGACGGTCGGCATCACCTTACGATGCTGGCTGAAGATTAATGCTCCAGGCATATCTAGGCGTGTTACAGGAAATAACCTGGTGAATGTTACCCCTTACGCCGTGCTGCCATGGTGCCAGAGTCGTTGTAACGTTGCTAAGTGCAAGGGAACAGTATAGCACCATCATTGGCACAATCAGTCCAGGACAATGTAGCATAATCACTGGCATAACTTGGGCGTAATGGAAAGCTGAATTTAGCAATTTACCGAGCATAATCCGCCAAGGGCTAAATTGAGGTCCGAGAAGCTGCACAACGGAAGGAGGGAACTTGGGAAGTCCATTTGAATTAATCCCTTGTCTGCACATCATCATACTTGTACAAGCATTGAACCAATGAATTCGTTGGGGTAGACACTTTCAAATTGTCGCAACTTTTTGAAGTCTTTACATGCACAGAGGAGAGGGATCTAGAACAGGGCGAACTGAAACGTTGAGAATGTACCGGTAGTAGCTTACCACTGTTACCAGTACGGCACTGGCACATTGTAGACGAGAACACCAATTCGCTATTACATGTATGTACTCGTATAATAATAGCGAATTGTAGGTGCGATGGTATGCTGCTACTAAATTAGTACTAATACTGTACTGTTACGTGTAGTGTACTATTTGGCCAGTCTGCGTAAGACCACTGCAATGTGTGTCATTGTACAATCTTGGCGGCATTGATAATACCAAGCAGGGAGTAGTACACTACCGGGTTCACAAAGCACGAGCAGGAGAAACGGCGACACTGTGAAGAGCGTGTTAGGGAAGTAGAGAAGGCATCGTTCGTCCCCTTGGTGTTTTGTGCCTCCGGTGGTCAAGGCAAGGCTGCCTCTGCTTTCCTCAAGCGCATTGCATCAATGCTGGCCGAGAAGCGGAAGGAACCGTTCTCCATGGTGATGGCTCACCTCCGATGCCGCCTAGGGTTTGCCCTCATCAGATCGGCGATTGCAAGTTAAGAGGTCATCGATCCAGGCGAGCACCTTTGGATCAGCAGCTGGAGTGCCCCTCAGCTCTAGTGAATGCTGAGTGTCGTCTGGGCTAACCCTCGCCTCCTGTTACATGACTGTATTGTTTTCGCTTAGTATTAGTTAGTTTTCTTTGAAACTCGGGTATTGAGCCAATAATAAAAGTAGAAAGGAAAAGGACATATGGAAACGAGTTAAGAGTAACTCTCCACCACTGTAACTAGATACTATATACAGTCAGAAAACGCAACATTTCTTTGTTATGATTTCTTTTTTTTTCTTTTTCTTTTTACCAGGCGTGGGCCATCCCCTGAATTCATAGGTGCCAAACATTTTACGTTTTTCATTGTCTATCATGCATTTTTTCTAATTTCTAAAAAAAATAAAAAATAAAAAATTAGTACAATACCGGGTATTGTACTACTCCCTGATACCAAGAGTATTATGCTCATATACAGTCATGTACTCTACCGGTATATATGTACAACAGCAGGGCCTGCTCTAGACATTCAACACAGCCCGGTCAGAGTGTACCTGGCGCCTGCAGGCCAGCCGGGTCAAGCCGGGTCAGATCATCCGGCAGAAAAACAACAAAAAGCCTGCTCAAAATGCAGGAAAATAGAAAGGCGAATTTATTACCGGAAATCGGAAATTTTAGAGAACATCGCGACCAAATCCACCGCCGCTCGTCTTCCTTTGCGTCTTGCACAAAGCGCACGACATGTATAGACTGGCATGATCGTAATCCATGGGATCCAGCCAGGGTCGACCTTTCTTCCAAGAGTCTTGGAAAGCGTGAGTTCTTTTTCTCTTAGCTGCGGGCTCCATCGTCCAAATCACCAGTCGGCTGAAAACTTGCAACTGTGTCAAAAGCTATAGCCAAAGTTACGCTTTTGACTATTATTATTATTATTATTATTTAAATTTTGAATAGGGCAATCCCCACAGGCCTAAGGCCTTTTTACAGGGTACCCTATGTGGTCACGTATAGATTTGCGGAATAGTGAAAGCGAGGAGCAAGAGCGAATGTCAGCTGGAAGAGAATTCCAGCGGTCAGAAGCCAGAAAGCTCAAAGCGACTACTGTAAAAGCAGAAATTTTCGGTGGTGTTTTATTTTCGGTAACTTCGGTGCCGACAATTTTTACCGAAAATAAAACGCACCGAAATTTTCGGTACAACCGATACTGTATACATGTAGTACTAGTACACCTACCTGGAGAACGGGTTTTACCGAAAATTTCCCGCTACCGAACCGCCGATTTTGGCGAATACCGAAAATATTACACCACCGAAAATTTCTGCTTTTACAGTACCTGCCCCATCGACTTTGAATGTCCTGACTTCCTGCTCGCCGCTGGCCAGATCGCGCTCGAACCAGTTGACCCCAGTTGACCCCAGTTGACCCTAGCCGAGTTTCTGTCGCTTGTAGACCTGGTAGACTGTAGTGTGTACGGTTGCGCTAGATTTGCAACAGATGGGGTCCGCGAGTCGTAAAATACCGGTATTTTAGGAATCCATTGTCAGTTTGAGACATTTTTCAGCCGGGTCAGACTGGACCCGGTGTTATCTGTTCAGCCAGGTCGTGCAGTTCCCCAGCCGGGCGCGTGACCCGGCTGACCCGGCTCTCCAGCAGGCCCTGAACAGTTACTATAACTGACAGGTGCCTACACACACAGACACCACACACAGTGGCACACACCATGTATACGCCCGTCGCAAGAGAAGCACGCAAATCTGCAAATGCGCTGGATGTACACACACACACACACACACACACACACACACACCTCAGACCTCAGACTTGCCCATCGCGGAAGCGATGATAGCGAACAGCTATGTTAGACATAGCAACTTGTGCTGGGATTACACCATTCAACAGCTTGCAAGGCTGATGAATTGACCGCCACTATTTTTAGCCTGGTATCCACCACACACACACACACACACACACACACACACACACACACACACACACACACACACACACACACACACACACACACACACACACACACACACACACACACACACACACACTACTAGTAGTCTGTAGGCTCTGGGCCTGGCCCGGGACTGCTAGTAGTAGTAGTCGGTAGTAGTACGAAGACAGTCATGAGACTCATGACTCATGGTCTGGAATATTCTTTCGGGGAGAAAGGTATGTTGGCTGTAGGGCCTTCCCTATCAAAATAGGGAAAAAATACTACTACAGTGTACTACTACCATAGGTATGTTGGCTACCATAGATTAGTACATGTATTGTAGCAGCTAGTACCGTTACACTGAGTCTGTTTGTTTATCTCACCGCTCACGATTGTGTAATCATAAATGTGCAGCTAGCTGTACAGCAGCCGATGTGCGTGGGATTAGCACACAATGTGAAAGTGGTTGGAGGTGTTTGAAGTATTACATGTATTTTAAATTACTTTTGACATTTCCCAGAGCCTGGCGACCTTGCTGGAAGGTAAGGTCTTCGCACAGTCGCTGACACAGTGACTTAGTGAGTCCTTCCGACGGTGACACAATCACTGAGACCAGTCATCTCTTCACACTACGAATCACAGGCTCTGAACATCATGCTGACTGGCAAGTCTGTGATGCATCGATGCTCGAGCACCACACACTGACACAGTCATCGATCGAGACTTCTACAACACTGTCAACAGTTACTAAAAAAACAAAAGACAAGAACATAGTAGAACTAGAACTAAGCACAATGATTGTACAATGGAGTACTTCTGGAACCATCCATAAAGTTAGTTAGTTGTTACTTGTAAGTTGTAGTGCTGCAGCCTGCACGTGTAAGTCTGTGTAGCCTGTAGGTCGCGATATCGATGACTCACGTGCACACGGTGCAGCGCAGGTACTGAATCTGGCCTGATCGATACTGCACAGCTGATGACAGGTGGAAGGCCGAGGGGAGCTTCTGGCACTTTCCTCGCCTGGTACATGGTTCCCTTGCTCAGATAAATACTGGACAAGGAAGACCGAATTAGTCAGTTCACCCAGTGATTTGCGAAAGTAATCTTTCTCTGCTTGTGTTGCTGTTCTTTACTCTCAATCGAGTCTTACAGCCTGCGCTTCTGTTTAATTCGGAGTTAGGCGGAGTAATCGTTACTACCTATTCTTTTCGCAAGAAAACTAGTAAAATATAGAGACTATCAGAATGCCTGGTGAAGATTCTGTGACTCTGTACGGGTATGAGACGTTGCGTGGCAGCCCACCGCCCACGGACAAGCCAATCCGTGTCATCAGCATGGAGTACTGCCCTTTCGCAGAGGTAAGAGAAACTGAACAAAAATCGAAACTATGAGTATGACTGCAGGGGCGTAGCCGCGCAGGAGGCGTTTGGGATCTGGTACGACCAAAAGAGGGAGCGGGCTGTGAAGGGGGGGGGGGGGGGGGTGCGGGGTTCCTCCGCTCCCCGGGGAAATTTTGTAAAAAAACCCATCCATGACTCAGTATTTCGCTCCTGCACTTGTAGCAGTTGAGCACTCTTGAGTCTTGTGTGGGGTGCGGGTGACTAGTGCCTTTGCTGTTTGCGTTATGCAGAGCTCACTGACTTGTCAGTTTGAGCACTCTGGCAAGGTACGTCCGGGCCTGGTTTAAATCTGGCTTTGCAAAATTTATTTTTCATTGCTATCGGGTTCGGCCTCATTTCCTCTGTGCTGCGCTGATGAGTCCACAAAGGACGAAACAGTTCGGTCCGCAGATTGAGTAAAAAAAGCACCCACAACAGGGGCGGATCCAGGATTTTTCCAAGGGGGTTCAGTTTTCTTCCACCCTTACCAAAGTGTGTTAAAATGATGACATAAAAAAAATAAAAAGTGCTTTTTGAAAATGACAGTTGCTGGACTACAGTGGTTAAGAAATTGGCTGCCGACTGATCGCCTGCAAATGTACAGTGCCTATAAAGCGGATAATCAAAAGTATTGTAGAATCATCGGGAGAGGATGACGACGACTGATGGAAATGAAATTTGCTGGAATACAGTGGTTAACAGGGTGGTTGCTGTCCTGCCGACGGATAGGCATGTATGAGCAAACAGATTTTAGCACTTTTTAGCTCAAAAAGGGCGATATTCACCAAAAAACGCAATAAAGGGCGAAAGAAACGGGCTTTTCCAAAAAGGGCGAAAAAGGGCGGGTACCTTTGGGAAAGGGCTAGAGGATAGGTGCTCTGATCCCATTGTCGAGCGCTCGAGCGCAGGTAGTGCTTCAGCCGTTTCAAGGCAGTGTTGCTGCGCTCATTCTCCGCAGAGGTGACGGGTAGTGTTGAAGCAATCCGGAGGAGGACGTGGATGTTCGGGAAAACATCGGAATCGCAATGCACATGAGCTTCTTGTGGGGTAGCTGGAAGTGCACCAGACTTCTCTGCTGCGTCCTTCCATTTCCTGACCCACTTTCGGATGTCGGTTGATATAGTTGAAGAGCTTGGCAGATCATCAGAATACGTGTCGACCAAGCGTTGAATGTTGGCAAGTAGGCCTTTCCCATATCGGCCGGCCGAAAAATTCGCCGAAAAGTAGCCTTTTCAGAATATCGCCGATCTTTTCGCCGAATTCTGAGAATTTACCAAAAAATCGCCGAATATACATGTAATCTACGTGGAGATAATAATTTTAATAATTATAGAGCATCGCTGGCTACAAGCGAGGGTCCCTAGTTCGAGTCCTGGTGGTGACAGTCAATTTTTTCTTCGGACTTTTCCCGTTTGTCTCTTTCCCTCAAACCAGTTAATTATACATGTAGCTATCTATTCTGGGTTTTCAATCACATTTTTGTTATAAAATACACAGTAAAAAAAAAGTAAATTATCGTGTCCGTTCCCGAAGGGAACTCACGACGGCCGCTAACACCCGGTAAATCCTAGCGGCAGATGCAGCGCCTAACGGTGGGGGTGAGTGGATAAGTCTCACAACCACTGGCACAAGTGCCGAGAACGACCCCATTAGCTGCATCCATGTACCCCTTGTGCCTGGCCACAAGTACCCAGTTGACTGTGGGTAGCAGCACGGCTGGAAAAACCCCAGGCAGGACTTGAACCAGGTACCTCTCGTATCTCAATCATGGTCTTTGACCAACCCACTTTGCCTGCCTGGTCAAGTAACGTAGTCGCGTGATGTCTGCGGCCTTCATCCTATTCATAGCTATATTGAATGTACATGTACATGTAATAATAATAATATCTTTATTAGGATGACCCAGAGGCTTGTCGCCTATCAATACCATATTCCTTGGACTTTTGCTGACTTGGCTCCTAGACTACAAGGGGTTCACCGCTTTGAAGGGTGTACATGTACATTGTACATGTATGAGCTAAAGTGAAAGTAGTAAATCGTACTACATGTACATGTTTTGCAGGGTCGTAGGCAACTGGCCCTGGGCATGACCGCTCGTGCGCGCCTGCGTCACGGCCCGTGGGCATTTCCCAAATCGGCCGGCCGAAACATTGGCCGAAAATAGTGGTTTTGAAGAAATCACCAATCTTTTAGCCAAATACGCAATTTTCGCCCTGAATTTGCCGAAAATTGATGTTTTAGTGCCTCAATAGCATGCAAATAGAATTTCTGTAGCCATTATCTGCGAAAGGTGGCTGCGACTTTAGAGCCGAATTTCCACCTTTTACAGAAATTTTCAGCCGATTCTGGCGATTTTTTCAGCCGATCGAAAAGCCGAGTAGGCCGAAATAAATGGCCGATTTGGGAAAGGCCTATTGGCAAGGTGTTCGTCTGAGGGTCATATCAATGTACATGTATCAATGTGACATTTGCATGATTCAGCTCGGGCTATATATGTGCTACGGCAGGTCAGGATCCAAGGAGCAATTCGCATGCCTGGCTTTTGTAAAAAAAAAAAAAAAAAAAAAAGCACCATGGTCGGAAAAAATTTAGGGGGTTCGTTCGAACCCCCCCCCCCCCCCCCCCTGTATCCGCCCCTGCACAATCCTGTGTTCTGGGTACTTTTGGCACATTTTTTTACTAATTTTTAGTCATAGAATCAAGTTTATGGTTCACGTGCAGAAAACTAAGTAATTAGTTGCCACGAACCAAGTGCACCTAATGCCCGTGTCGAGTCGAATATGAGTCAAACTTGGTATTGACTTAGTACTACTACAGTCTAGTATGCCGGACTACGATATGTAGCGCTGCACTTATGTTGAAATAGCAAACCCACGCTAAAAATGGTACGTCGCGGAAGCGTACTCTCCAAGCTAATACTAATATAATATCCCCACCCCCACCCCCACACACGCGTTGATCATCTTGTGCCATTTGCCTGTTTCAGACTAGCACATTGGAAAATACTCCATGGACACTGGCATCAGTACGTCCTGTTTGCAATTGTTTGAAAGTGAACAAGGAAGCGTGCAGCACAGCACTGTAGCTGGGTTATAGACTTTGACAGCTAGGTGTACAGTCACCTGCTGCATTCATGTACTAGTATGACGACGTATTGACGGCGCATGTTCATTTCCTGGCTTTTCTCCCCACTGTACAGCGTGCTCGCATGGTGCTGGCTAAGAAGGGCCTAGAGCACGACATAATCAACGTGGATCTGTCCAACAAGCCAGCCTTCTTGTTTGAAGCCAACCCCAACGGACAAGTCCCCGGCTGCTTCACGAGGGCAACAACATCTACGAGTCGGAGAATGTTGTCGGTAAGTGGAGGACCGCAACTTGAGCGACGGTGGTGCTGTTGACATGATCTGGACGCATGTGTGTGTGTGTGTGTGTGCACGCGTGCGCGCACGTCTGTCTACTGCACTGCTGCTCTGCGTAGTGTTTGTTTTGTTTGGGGCTCAAAAAAGGTAAAACTGTTGTTGCTTGGCTTGTGTCATCTCTCCACCACAGAGTATCTGGAGAACAAATTCCCGGAGACTGCCACTCTCTATCCCAAGGACGCCACTGTGCGCGCTCAAGGCCGACAGCTGTCATCCCAGCATGGTAGCAAGGTGAGATTCAGTGGCATACATTACACTACACACTCCCTTGAGTCCCTTCTCTGGCCAGCTGTTTGTCAATTTAGTAAGGATAACCCTACAGTATTACCGTGAGACCAACGATTCTGGCTGTCGAAACCACCAAACAACTGTACATGCGGAATATCATGTGATCGTTTTTGCAGTATGTTCCAGAATTGCAATTTTTGTGCTCCGCTCTTCAATTCATTAGGAGCTGCAAATAGAAGTGGTCTTACAGTATTCCATGCCATCATACGGTGTTGCTCATTGCAACCACCAGATCTGGTGCATATCTAGAATCTCTGCACTGCATTATACATGTAGCTAATTTCCCCCGCTCATAATTGTTGCCAGTAATGCTCCACTTTTGAATGGAACTCTGAGTTGCAACTTTGTAGTAGCCAAACTTCGGTCTGCTTTCTGTGTAAGAATGCTCAGTCCACCAGTGAACTGATGAATGCTCAGTCCACCAGTGAACTGATGAATGCTCAGTCCACCAGTGAACTGATGAATGCTCAGTCCACCAGTGAACTGATGAATGCTCAGTCCACCAGGGAACTGATGAATGCTCAGTCCACCAGTGAACTGATGAATGCTCAGTCCACCAGTGAACTGATGAATGCTCAGTCCACTAAGAGTGAAGAGTCTCCTGTGTAGTTTAGATGATGTACCGTATATACAATGATTGTATTCGTATTCTTCTCTCCGTGAATCTGTCCTGTCCAGGTGATTCCAGCTTTCTACAAAACAGTTAGCTCGCTGAAGAGTGAAGACCCAGCGGTCCGGAAGGAGGCCTTTGCCAATTTCCACAAAGTCCTTGACACGTGGGTAGAGCAGAAGCTTGGCGATGGACCCTTCTTTGGTGGTGCCACCGAGAATATCACCGATATCCTCATCTGGCCATGGCTGTACCGATCCGACATCCTCACAAGACAGTAAGGCTATTGCTATTCACAATCATGTACATATGCACCACATGTGTTCGAGCTTTTGCTATGTGCAATCATGTACATGTATACACAACATGTGTTGGAGCTATTGCCATGCATAACCATGTACATATACACAACATGTGTTGGAGCTATTGCTAAGCACAATCATGTACAGTACCGTATTTTCCGGAGTATAGTGCGCACTTTAGATGTGCTATTTTAGGCCCTAAATCGCAGGTGCGCACTATGCTCCGAATATGAAATGCATGTACTTCAATGAAGATTGAAGTGCGCACCCCCAATGAAGATTGGGGGTGCGCGTTATACAAAGGTGCGCACTATACTCCGAAAAATACGGTAGGTATCGGCAAGAGTACATAACCCCCAAGAGTGTGCAACTGCCTGCACAACCTCTATGGTGTGCTGTGACGGCAGAACTTCACATCACGTGACATGGTTCAAAAGGTTATGCTGGCAAACAGTGCAAAGTGACCACAAGAGAGTTGTACCCGAAGCTGGGTTGCGTACAACCCTGTATCTATCATGCACAGAGTGCAAATAATGTGTACGGGTTCATCACGTGATGTGAAGTTCTGCCGTCGCAGACCCCATAGCTGGAGTTGCACACTCTTGGGGGTTATGTACTCTTGGTATCGGTTATAGCGTGGGTGTTTGAAAAGCGACTTTCTGTTCTTATTTCCGATATTTCTTACACGCGATAAATCCAATGTGACATATCATATGCATGTGCGCAGAGGCAGGAAGGTCATCGTACATGCAACATGCAACATAGTGAGTGCTGCTGTGCATGCAACATAGTGAGTGCTGCTGTGCATGCGGCTGTTCATAGTCACATAGGCTTACCATGTGGCTATGCAGCACGAGTTTCATGACAACACCGGTTGAACCTGCCGCACTACGATGCAATGGGCGCTTTCGATTACACGTTTACACAATTCTGGAACTGGTTTTTTAAAATTCTGGAATGACCAGAATGAGCGGATTCCGGCCTTGTAAACGAACGACTGGAATTCACAACGCATTTTATTCATGTCATGTCACAAACAAAATTGATGAATCGTAAAAAGAGATCACGTACACCCTCGTGCGCACGTGGACCCAGCATCGCGCACACGCCGGCCAGGGAGGCTCTTCGCTCGCTTGAGTCATGACCAGACCGGTAACACACCGACTGTGCAATTCCGGCGCCAGAATTAGAGATATTCCGCCCTCTCTTCAGATTGACGGATTCGACGGAATTGGATAAAATCAATTTTAACCCTTTATTGGCCGATTAAAATATAAACAAGCCCACGCAATCGCCAAACCTGTAACTAAATTGGACGTAACTTTAGTTTGCACTGGACAAATTCCACAATCTTGGGCATCCTAGAAAGGCCTTGACGAGAGGCGCGCAATGAGCCTACACTCGACTCCACGGGATGCACTGGCCCAGCGCTGCAAGCCAGGGAAGGCCCACCAGCGCTGGGCTCACGCTTGAGATCTATCTCTATCCACCATTTCACTCCTGTTTCTCGTATCAAACTCAAAATTTCCGTAGAGACTCCCGGGAACCTGCTTTTGAAGTTGAATCGGTGTAGCCTTGTCAACAGGTGACGCAAGTAGGGAAAATCCCGGCCGTTGACCCACGCATCACGCTCTGAGCACAAATTTCCCAGGACCAATATTACGAGTGCTATCTAACGAACCGCTCTTTGTATCGCTTTGAAAATTGTTCGAGGCGACAGCTGAGAGTTTTCTCTTCGACCTACATAATTTCGATTTCTCCGAAAGACCGAGATTTGACCAAGTTACGATAATTTCAAAATGCCTACCCCATCGAACATCGGTGTTCGATCAATGTATGGGCCAGCCAATAAAGGGCTAACAACGGAATTTGTCACTTTTTGTGTAATCGAACTGTGCATCAACAATAACTAATTCTAGAATTGACCGAAATGCGTGTAATCGAAAGCGCCCATTGTGAGTCGGATCAGACCTGCTTTGGACGTTGTGCCAAGGAAGTCTGAGACAACAAGGAGTGTGTGTGTGTGTGTGTGTGCTGGTGTCTTCCTCATTACAGCCGTTTGCCCGAGCTTCTCAATGCAGATAAGTTCCCAAAGACGCTGCGCTACATAGCAGCGATGAGAGCTCTGCCGTACATCCAGCAAACTGCTGCTACTGATGAGGGTTTGCTCAAATTCGTGGACACCTTCACTTCTGGCAAGAAACCAGTGGGCTACAACATTGATTCCAAGCACCCGTTCTATGCCGGCCCTGCTTCGGCAGATGCCTAGATGCCAAGCAAGTTGAAGCAACCTTTCTCCTACTGGTTCCGATGTGGCGCGGGTAAATCGGATGAATGCGCTTCATGGCAGATCCTGTGAATATTATAGCAATCTGTACATACTTGCAATAGCTTCCAATTCTAGGTGGTGGGTGCAGTGCAGTCTTTGTGTCTCTGCTGTCACCATGACTAATACTTGATGCTGTAGTTGTGAGGTATTTGACAAGCAGCAATGCTCACGAAGTACTACTCATTTAGATCTGTTTACTTACACTGTATACACAATGATCCCGGATTAGGTTTATGAATGTCTACAACACTTCACTGTATTATTAGCTTTAATACTGGCATTTTTCCAGAGACAAACTCCAAGTCAACTGTGTCTGCAGTGTGTGGAGTGTGTTTGTGAGCGCTCAACACAGAATTAGGGGATTTACCTCGAATCTTCAGGACCTTCCCTGAAAACTGCAAGCAAATCGGACAGGGTGATGATATGTGTACTGTTGTAGGGGCGCAAACTCTCTTTCTCACGATCGGAATTCATGGGTAGTACAGTGTGGTAGGATTGAGCTGCCAAACGACCACAGCAACACCTGTAGGGAGGGACTATGCGACACTTTCAAACTCTCTATGCAATGGGCTAGGAAAAGACCTTTTGAAAAAGGTTCGTCTGAATCGGGACCAAGCTGTGCCTCATCGGCTCATGGCCTCTTTACACAGGGTTGCATGTTGTGGTGGATCGTCTCACCGCAGAAAGTCTTATTCTTGGTGTATCTCAGCTCCACCTCAGGGCAACAGGCAAAGGCGATTCCTACTGTACTGCACCCAGGTAGAGTCATGCGCCGTCATTGCTCACCGGTTTTGAAAGGACAAGGTCATCAAGCTTCATTCATAGCAATATACAATTACTGTACAGGTACACACAACTAGTGCATACAGTTATCAACATGTCATAGCCTGGCAATGTACAGTGCAATTCCAAACTGCAGCCTATGTAATACTTATGTACAATCTCCACACGGCCCATGCATAATCAGGCACAGGCGACGGCGGACATAAATAAGGACCTCGCAAACATACACTATAAACTATTCAACCATAAACACAATAACGAAACCTTCTATGTACAGTTGTTCTATGTGCAAAAGAAAATAGGCAGCCCTCATTCCCGGGACTCTTACGGCCAGCAGCTGCTGGGCTACATGTGTCGTCTACCTGCGACGATGTGTAGGTATGATGGTTTTCTGCAGTCCTCGCCTCCGCCGCTACATATACACAACACACAGAACACACAACATACACATAGCCACAGACAGACAGACACACACAGTCACAAAAACATGCACACACACACATACACAACGGAACAACTTAGACAGAGAGAGAGAGAGAGAGAGAGAGAGAGAGAGAGAGAGAGAGAGAGAGAGAGAGAGAGAGAGAGAGAGAGAGAGAGAGAGAGAGAGAGAGAGAGAGAGAGGAGAGAGAGAGAGAGAGAGAGAGAGAGAGAGAGAGAGAGAGAGAGGGGGTATCAAGTGTACCTTGAATACTGCAAATTAGCCACTCTCAGACACAGACAAGTTTACTTACAAATGTTAGACTGTTTTTGCGTTCCGTGATTTGATTGTACTCGTGGTCAAGTTGCTTCCGTTGCTTCAGCGCCTCGTCAAGCCGTGTCATCTTGCTCTGGTATTGGCGTTCGGATTTCTATGGCGAGAAAACACAAACAAGCTAAGAGCATAAGTAAAGGGGCTCTCACAACACACTCGACAGGTAAACAGTGTGCATATATCTTCAACTGCTGCCTAATAATTCCTACACATTTTTCACATTCAAGAAGGGTAAGCAGTTGTGATGTGGTGGTTGATGAGAAAAAAATAACCTTTTCCATATGACCGGTTTAGGCAGTGGGATGTCTCAGTACTCCTTGTCAGTTTGGTCCTAGATTGTGCACATCTGACTGTTTAAAAATCTGGTCTAGTTGGCGAACTCTGATGCAAAACTTGTGCCCCACTGTTTACCATGTTTAAAATCTAACTTTTCCATTTGAACAATAACATTTAAAATGGTCAATCCACCTCAAGTGGCACGATGCATATCACTTTACCACTATACTTTTCCTCTCCCCCCCCCCCCCCCCCCACCACCCACACATGCCCCCCCCCCCCCCACACACAGGCAGCATAGTAGAGACAAGAGTACATGAAAACCAGAGTGTGCAGCTTGGGGTCTACTCTGCTATGGGTGTCTGTCACGGCGAAATTCCGTGATTACATCATATTTGGTGCAGATCTGAGGCGGGAAATGGCGTAGTGCGTACAACTGAGCTGCAGTTGTGCAGAAAGAGACCTGCTTGAATCCTGCTTGTACGCACTACATCACTAAAATGATGTAATCACGGAATTTCGCCGTGACAGCAACCCATCCGAGCTGCACACTCTGGTTTTCATGTACTCTTGGTAGAGAGCACTAGGAGCAGTGTTGACAGCATCACCTGCTGATTGTGACATTCCTCAACAGGAGCACATGCATTTCACCAATCGTTTCTAGGTGGTAGTGTGACACTGGATATCTATACATACACCGTTAGAAAGCATAATAGTACAACTAAGCAAAATCAGACTAGTGCTGTACCTTGCGAATACTCCTGTGCACAGTTGGCAGTTCGTCGTTAGCAAGCTGCTCGGAGCGCATACGGTTGGCAGGGTTCTCCAGCAGCGCCTTGTGCGTGTCAAAGTACTCGGCTTGCTTGTCCGCACTGTTATTGAACTGCTCGGCTGAGCAAGGGAGAAAGAAAGACATGAAGCGGCCATCTTGTCATACCTCCAAAGGCATGTGCTAGTGGGGTGGGGCGCGCACGCACGCACACACACACACACACACACACACACACACACACACACACACACACACTTTGACAGGTGTTGAAACATCCATGCAGGCAAAGAGCCGCACACACACAGGTGCTGAAACATCCATGCAGGCTAAGAACCTCTCACAGTTCTGCTTCCAAACAAGGGGTTTCAATCAATTCTCATAGCGGGAAATACAAGAAATGAGAGTTCAGGACAAGGACAGCGGTCTACAGTTGGAACAATCAGCAAAAACCTAGCTCATTTCACCGTGCTGGGTATTCATATTATTAGTTCTCTTGACAGCAGAAGCGCAGGAGACTCCCTTGTAGTGAGACTGTCTTGCCCCCTTGGGGTGCAAGCAAGCGTACAAAACAGCTCCATTTCGTGTGTGAACTGGCGATGACGTTGCGTGGCGGTGCACGAAATTCCCATGATAACTGACTAAATGGCTTACATGATGTGTGTACAGCGTTCAGGGAAGCCAAGACCACTGGTCGACCGAGTCCGCTGCACGTTACCCGCACAGCTACCATCTACAGCCCCAGCTTATTTACAATCTGTCCTTGTCTTTGCTTTCTCTTCTCTCCCTCTCCCTCTATACTTCTTCACCAAGTTGGGATTTCACAGTATTTGCTATATTTAGGGGGAAATGTAGTCCAGAACTGTGTCAGACAAACTGATATTATCCTTTAAGCGGGATTCACAGAACGCTTTTTTGCGATGCGACACGCGATGCGACAGCCGCGAAACCGGGAAATCCCCAAATCGCAGCCATCTCGCACCCCACGCAACTGCCGCAACTGGGCCATCGCAGAAGTTGAGCTTGGCTGAACTTTTGCGATGCGACAAGCGATTTGGCGTACGATTTTGACCTTTTCTACAGCAAAGTTGTACAAAGGTTCAATTGCCTATAAATTTGTACAAGTTGTACCAAACCGAGCGAATATCATGGTGACGTAGCCAAATCAGCAAGACTTTGTCGCATCGCTGACTTCTTCTGTGAATGGTATTTCGCGAGTTCGCATCGCACACGCCCGTCGCAGATCGCGTCGTATCGCAAAAAAGCTTCTGTGAATCCCGCTTTACTGTTGCTATTACCGTATTTTCCCCAATAAAGGTACATTTATTGGGGAAAATAAGGTGGTCAGACCTGTACTACTATAGGAGATTGTACTAGTACAGTCAGACCTCGCTTAACCGCACACATCTGTTTTCCACAAAAATATCCGGATAGGCGAGGGAACCGGATAACTGAACACACATACTGTATATGCATGTGGCATATCAAAAGCAGTGACATCGTACATACATGTAGACGGGTCCTATGCAGTGCAACTAGCGTGCACAGTATGTAAAACAAGCGAGAAAAATGACAAGTGCATGCAACTGAGTGCTGTCCACATGCACCCAGCATGAAGGACCTCATTTGCCTGTACAACTCCCTGATTCTAGCTTCTGCAAGGCACATGCAACCGGATACGACGAAGCTTTTTGTACACATTTCAACCAGTTTGTACACAAAATCATGCACCGGTATGCGGATCGCGAGGTCCGGTTATGTTGTATGCATAACATATGCTGCACATCGGTAACCAGCGATTTTCTTCCGGATGGTGAGGGATCCGGATAAACGAGAACCGGATAAGCGAGGTCTGACTGTATTGGAGACGTGTAATTTTATTGTTTCTGGAAAGATTGATTGCCGGGGTTGGGTGGCAAACAACTCGTGATAATGATACTGTAAGGCTGTAAATTCATCCCACCATGGTAAGAATCAGTGTACAAAGACACAAAGATGATGAACGGGTAAGAAAAACGAAGTAAGGTGGACCCTGGTAGCTGTACCCCAGTAATGCTCATCACATCATTCCGGCATGTACAGTGCGTATCAGTTATAGTGTGGTCGTATACAAGAATATACTGCCTACAAGAATGAACACTCATTTTTTCATAATCATAACACCTATTTTATGTGTACAGTATATTTATTCTTACAAGCAGTATTATCGCATAGTAGAATATATCGGCCCTAAGAATGGATTTTGTGTAGCAAAATATGCCAGATTAGTGCAAAATGTATCGCCTGTAGTAATAACATCTGTGCTCTGTGCATGCTCAATACAATAATATTCAACACAAAAAGAGAGTTATGTCCAACTGAGCATTGGAGAATCACTTTTTCTGTCCAGTCGGACTCTTTCTTCCGACTTCTCTCCTATCTGCTGCTCCGCAGTCGCCTAGCACGACCGCGAGTCTGATCCGTGTGTATCATGATTGTGTAGACCTACATGTACATGATTGTACGTGTCCACATGCCAAACATGTATTATGTCACACGTGCATATGATATGTCACACGTGCATATGATATGTCACACGTGATTTATCGTGTGTAAGAAATATCGGCAATAAGAATCAAATGTCGTTTTTCAAACACCCACGCTATAACCGATACCTACTGTACTCTTATTAGAGACATGTTCTTTTATACTTTTGATCCACGCTCAACATGTACTACAATTGGAGACGTGTACGTGTAATGGGGAAAATGCGGTATCAGAAAAGCACAAAGTCAGCAGCTTCAATTTTCGGTCTTCACGACAAACTGAGATGGTGTGGACATAGTTCCGCTTCATTTGAAGAGAAATATTCCCAACCAGAAAAACAAGAAATTAGGGCTGCAATTCAACCTGTCACGGGCTGTGCTCTATGCATTACGCCAATCGACGTTGAACATCGCAAGAACTGCGGCACGTCGAGTCGTACAAATTGCTGCAATTCAACCTGTCACGGGCTGTGCTCTATGCATTACGCCAATCGACGTTGAACATCGCAAGAACTGCGGCACGTCGAGTCGTACAAATTGTACAAGATTTACCCCAGCCTTCCCGGCAGGCTCTTACGCCCCCGCACCATCAGCATTACGTTGGTAGTGAACTAGGCTATAGCAACAAAAGATACGAGTACATACCTTCTTTGTCATCGTCAAAGAATACCACATGCCGTCGCTTGTCATGATCTGGCATGCCAGGCATTAAGCTCAGGCTCACTTGAAGATCCTGGATTTCCTGAAAGAAAAAAAGTCGGTACAATAACATGCACACGGTACATTGCAGTGATGCAACAACATGGATAATGAAGATATGCCTAGCCTAGCCGAGCTCTTCAGTAATAAATTGACAAGTAACAACAAAGGGATTCGACCCACTAGTAAACTTACTTTGGGAATTTGTTCCAAAAAATCCAGTCTTTGCACAGCAGTGTACTTGAGTCTACAGACATGCAGTGCCTCACAATTCTCACCTACACTGTAAACATATGACATTGTACTATTCTCTGAAATCGAATAGTTAAGCATTGGGGAAAGTGCGGCTCATAACATTATGATCAATTCAAACAGTCATGACATGACAAATACAATCTGTTTAAACATTCTAGAACTAACAAAGTCAACCCAAGACTGATATAAAACACAGCCTGCCCCCTCCCCTCAGAGAACCTATGATACACACACACCTGGCTTGAAATACGTTATAAATAATAAATATCTGGTTACTGCACAGGAAAAAGGGATTACCTTATCCAATTTCCGCCTCTCGCCTTCAATTTGAAACAGGTCCCTGCAGAGTGCACGCACTCTCTCTTTCTTCTCTGGAGGTGGAATTTTATTCTTCTGGAAGTGCTCGCCATCCTATCAAGGAAACGTCAGCAGATTATTTCAAAACAAGGTGAAGAAAACAATGGTTTAATACAAGAAGAGTGCTGGCTAATGCATATCACTAGGTACGATTCTTTAGGACAAGGCAAATCACGGTGTAGAGAGCAGTCTACAGATAAGGACAGCTGCAAAAAAACCAGCCAAGCAACACCAACACAACTGCAACTACAACTGACATGACGAGCCCCAGCACGTCTTCTTGCTTTAATAGCTCCAACAAGAGCACGCAGCGCTAACTTTGATGCTGCGTGCAAGTTGAATGGCGACACTGGTGTAAAGTGCCAATGTTTACACGACTGTGATAGTTTCAACATCCAACCCATTGTGCGTGCTATAACCTGAAAAGTTCACGCTATGTAGCACAAGTCCATGCTCAAATACACAGCGTGTGAAATCGATTCTGCACGGAAGTCCATGTCGACCTGGGTACGAAAATTCCCGTCCATACCATGTCCCACTAATGCTCCAACCGTTGACAAAAGTGCACATCATGCCATGGCAAATGCAATGCACGTGTGAGGTTACACACTTCTCTGCCCACGGGTGCATTTTTTAATTTTTTTTAAAAGCTGCGATCGTAACTGGCGCATGTACGCCTGAAGCCATGCGTTTGTGCATGTTTTCGCGGGCTTTTGGGGCGTGACGTCGCGCGTTTGGAAACGACTCGAAACGGAAATGCCAAAATGTTCTATTTTTTAGCACGTTTCAGGCGCATACTGGCGGACATGCCAGTCACTTTGGTCAAAATAAGTAATCAAAGGCGACCTATAATACGACTCGAATTGCTGTTTTCTGTGAAAGCCTGAGCGAGCATCTGGCAATGCATGAACCACAAACATATCGCGTACACGCTAGGGTCCAGCGAATAATGCTCCAAAAATGTTCGTATAATGCTAACCATAATGCTCCAAAAACTGCCTTATAATGCTGATTATAATGCTTCAGGAAGGTATATAATGCTCTTTGTTTGGGACAAAAATGGAAGAAAGTCTGCACATTGCCAAACTTCCAGGAAATTATGCATATCGCCGATCTGCATCTGAAGCTGCCACCTTATCTCTCACGAGCTCCACCACTTCTTAGCACTATAAGACATGATCGCTTCTCCATTGATTGCTCTCCATTCCAACTTTGATGCAGGGTTGCGGCAGAATAGTCGGTGTATCAAATCTTTCCCCTAATTATCCATGTAGTGAGAGATGAAACCATTATTGCAGGTAGTCATTCATTGTTGGGATGAAGTTAATCTTGGCAAATAGTATTCCTGTCTGCAGACAAGCTGTCACTGTGTCCACTCCGTGAATAATGTCTTCATCTGAAACACCATACGTGAGGCCAGCTACTGAGATCCGATCTCAGATGGAGAGACCTCCCATTTGCGGAAATCCTGAAAACACGTGGTCAGAAGTTATTTTGCCACTCTACGTCCTTTGCTTGTGCTCTCATCTTCTCCTTGAGATGGTGTGTAGACGTATGGCTTGCCACAATACTCTTCCTTTCTGATAGCATTGGACTGTAGGCCTGGCATTACTACCGTCCACAACTAACTGTACGTTCTTCATTAGGAAAGTAAGACAGGCGATGCTCAGAAATCGACTTGGTACTGAGTCCATGAGAAATTCTAGTTCTTTTCGAGCCTCCTGAGCTGGACTCGGCAAAGGCAGTTCTTTTGGAACGAGCTATTTCTGTTTATAGCCGCTCCTTCATCCTGGTCCAAATTTAGCAATGCATCAGTGTCTACTTCAGTATCGCTAGAGATGCTATCGCCAGAGCCTCTGGCACAACTAGAAAACTCTTCTTCGTCTGTTTGATATTCACTTCGCGTATGTCTCCTCCATAGCTCTCCATTATTCTAAGAGTAAAAAAACATAGTAAATAATTTCTCCGGATTTGTGTCACTTGAACTGCCTCGGACTCGGTTGGGCATGCTTCACAAATGGCTTGTATACGTTTACCTGACCACATCGCTACAATCACAACGTTTTATGTAGCAATAGTTATGTAGCGTTAGCGCTAAAGGTGTTACGTGTAGATCTACGTGTCTACACAAAGTCAAGCACCGGTACTCATAGTACTCAAATGCCCGGAATGGGCGAAGCGTAGTACGCACGAGGTACACAAAAGGAGTAAAATAGGGCTGTTTCGTTGTTACTCAGAGTTTCATGGCAAAAACCAATCATCAGACAACATATCATGATCATGATTGTAGCCGATTGTTGCCAAAAACCTGGAATTTCCCGATATTATCCACTATGAAACTCGTTATGCCGCTCAAACCTCACACAATGCTCGTTTTGTTCCTTTCTAATGCTCCATAATGCTCTGATGCTCGGATAGTCGTATAATGCCGAATATAATGCCGGCATTATCCGCTGGACCCTAGTACACGCGCCAGTTATGAACACAGCTTTAGTACCAACTTTCCTTGGCCCAACTTCGACCAATCTTAGTCTCGCACCAACTTCCCTTTTTTGCCCTCAACTGAGATGGCAAGACATTTTACACAAGAACTGGTTTGTTCAAATCCCAGCCTGTCTTTCCAAGTTTCCAGTTATTTTTATTAAACACCCAACCTCCTCTAAGCTCAACTGATGAGGGGTGAATTCCCCAAAACACTGTGTATTGAACAGGGAGTGGTGCTTTTTTGCAGGTTCGCCGAGTGGAAGGTGTGACGTGTTCGTCATGTACTCTGGTCGTGAGTCATTCAAGTTCGGCAGGAAGCGTGTGTTCCACTTAGGAACAACCGACTTCATCTACTAATACCGTCAAAGTCGTAACTTCTAAGATACTTCAAGCCAGTTGTTGTTGTGGTGGTGGTAGTGGTGGTGGTGGTCTCAGTATGGTGTGCTCGCGGCTGATGCTAAAATAGGATGAAAGCTGTGGGGCTACTGTTTTCCGGTATCAGCGGACTGCTATGCTCAAGACAGGCAGCACATGCACTCTAGTCTTCATCTAGCAAATTCCCCTACATTCCAATGCCTCCACAAAGTGTGTCAAGTTAGAAGATCACATGAAAAAAAAGACTGAGAAAGGACAAGCTCAGTGCATGCACCCGTGGTGGGATACAACAGAGAACAATACGACTGGCTATTATTGATTACCGGTAACTTTGAAGTACTCACCGTCATTTTCGAGTTGATCATTTTGTAGTAGAACTCATCTGGATTTCTGTTCCGCGCCTGAAGAAAGCATAGTCACAATGGAAGACACAGAATAACCCGATACACATTGTTCAGAATAGTATTCTGGTTTTGGTGATCACAGTGATTTCATGAGTTTTTAGTGCCTTTCTAACAGTTACAGTGCGTCCATTTTTGCATGCTCTCTTTCTGTTGTGATATGCGCGTTATCCTGTGTGACTCTTGCAAGTGTATGATTCGTTAGTTCCGTGCATGCTGGCTGGCTGTGCGCCCCAAGTAGACGTTTGTACGCATGCTGTCTTTGCGCGGCTCTTTCGATTTTTCTGCTGTGCTGGTCTTGTTGTTCGGCGGCATAATTTGTAGTGTGATTTCGTGACGAGTTCGTTTTGTTTACCTTTGAGGGTTACAGTATTTTGATCAGTCAATTCGAGAGACTAATTTGCCTAGTTGAAATGGAACCAACTATTAACATTGAATGGTAGCAGAGGATGGTTCCAGTGAGGTCTTGTGAAGTAGTCGTCCGTAAATTCCATTCCTGAGAAGTTCGAAAGACAAAAAATATGGAGTTGTCAGTGCTTCGTTCAGAGAAGTCGACAGCAAAGGCTGAATGTACGTCCTCAATAAGAATTATCGCTGAACTAACGGATGACAAAGCGACACCGACAAAGGAGATCAAAGATGCGTTGGCTGTCGGTGAGAGGACGATGAAAAAGGCTATGAAAGCAATAGAGAAAGTGTTTGAGTACGGTCACCAGCAGGGCGATTAAGACATTGTCACGGCTGCTGCAGGAGAAGCAGATGACATTGAAAAGCAATTTTCCAAAGCTGTTGAGTGGTGAAAGACCAAGTTGGCTGTGTTTAGCATTGGGTCTCGAACAGCGTCCATGGTGGGCAGATGTAGTAAATCCCCATACACTAGTACTACTGCAGTCGCGACCAGCTTGGCTGCACAACGCCAATCAGCTCCCGAAGAAAATGCCGAATCCACTGGCGACAGTGCCACCAAAGACAGCGCCCCCTCCCAATGACTGAATCTGATGAACGCGATGGGAGTCAAGTAACTGTTGTACAGAGCTATGTAGCCAGCAATACCAATAGTTATACTGTGCCAACAGTGCAGTATTCGTCGCGAAGTGCTGGCCCAAGTGCGCAGGTTGCCACCGTGGCGACGGTGCCAAGGATGAAATCCTCGCCTGCGTCGTCAGCAGCGGCAAGTTTACCTACAGCAGTAACAGCACCACCCAGACATCAGCCAGTATCTGTATCAGCTGTCAGCCACCACAACACACTGAAACATGTCAAGCCTCTCATCATACCAGATTTTAGTGGGGAGAAACACAGTTACCAGCCATGGCCTTCAAGGCCTGGGTTGGCAACACTAATGCGTCGGAGGAGCTCAAGTTGTCTCACCTGCGACAGTATGTCAAGGATGACGCCTTGCACACAATTGAATGCAGCTGTCTAACCAGCTGTATCTACCACACTTTGCAATAGTAAAACCCGACAAAGCAACCACGAATGCTCGAATTGTATTCGACGCCTCAGCATCATGCAATGGTGTGTCGCTAAACGGCAGAATGCACACAGGACCAAAGCTGCAACGCTCACTGCTAGACGTGTTGTTGCGCGTCCGTCACCACCCCATTGCTCTGGTCGGCGGCATAGCAGAGATGTATCTGCAGATTGAGCAAAATCCTGCCGATCGCCAGTATCATCGCTTTCTATGGCGTGGCATAAACCAGTCTAAGGAGCCCTGCGTCTATGAATTTCAGCGTGTTGTGTTTGGTGCAACTGCTTCGCCATTCCTGGCTCAAGAGAATGCCCGCAACTGCACTGAGCAGCTACCTCGCGCTGCTGAAGCTGTGGTTGATTCTGCGTACATGGATGGCACCATGGATTCAGTACCAACACCAGCTGAGGGTATTTAACTCTATCCAGATCTACTCTAGTTATGGTCATACGCTGGAATGAGTCCTCGTAAATGGTTGTCAAATTCCGCCAAAGTCTTAGCTGCCATTCCAACGGAGCTACTAGCTAAGCGAGTTGATATCGTAGCCGGAAGTCTGCCTGCTACAAAGACACCGGGCGTCATGTGGCAAGCACAAGAAGATCAGTTCAGCTTCTGCATTGCCAGTCCCACCAAGCCATGTACAACCAAGAGAGAGTTTCTGAGCAGACTTGCCAGCGTTTTCGATCCATTGGGTCTATTTCCCCAGTTGTCGTGTGTGGTCGTATTCTGCTGCAAGAGATCTGGATGGCTGGCACCGACTGGGGTGAGTGCTTATCTCCCAAATTACCCGCCGCTATTGCACAATGGCTTGCTCAACTGGAACACGCTCAGCATATTGTTGTTCCACGATGTCTGAGTGAAGTACAACCAGTCGACACTCAGTTGCACATGTTTGCGGATGCATCCCAGAATGCGTATGGAGCCGTTGTCTACTATGTCGCCACGTATGCCGATGGTCGCACAACGTCTCGTATTGTTGCCTCACATGCCAAGGTGGCTTCGCTAGATGCTGTGTCCATTCCACGATTGGAATTAATGGCCGCAGTACTCGGCTGTCAGCTCGTACAGTTGCCAGTGCGCTCGATGTAGCTTTGTCAAGTGCAGTGTTGTGGACTGATAGTCTCAACGTCCTACGGTGGCTCACCAATCGCAGCTGCTCATTCAAGCCGTTTGTTGCCCATCACATCAGCCAAATTCACCAGTCCACTGACCTAAGTCAGTGGAAGCATGTGCCAATAGACAGCAATCCAGCCGATGTCCTATCGCGGGGAGCGCCAGTATCTTCACTGCAGAGTTTCACCTTGTGGTGGCATGGGCCACAGTATTTGGTTGAAGGTCGCTCCACGTGGCCTCAGCAGCCTCAGTTACCTACATCAAAGCAGCCCGAGATGAGATCCATTACGCTGACAAGTGTAATATTTTGTAGTGTGGTTTCGTGACGAGTTCGTTTTGTTTACCTTTGAGAGTTTCAGAATTTTGATCAGTCGATTCGAGAGACTACTTTGCCGAGTTGAAATGGAACCAATTATTAACACACTTGACATTTCTTCTTCGTTTCATTGTAAAGGGACAACGTGACACAAGTCATATCAGGAGAATGCAGATTACTACAAGCACATGACTATGGCGCTAACCTTCTCCTTGAGAACCTTTATTCGCTTCTGCTTGATGTGATAATCTCTAGAGAAGGTACAGACAAAGGGTACAAGAAAGCACAATGTGCATGGCATATTACTAGTGGTGAAATGAATATTCGAATATTCGGTTGGTCACATTTGAATATTCTTTAAGTCGCATTCGAGTATTCGTGACGGCACTTCGAATGCAGTGCATGTACATTTGTACATACACGCACGCCGAACACAGTACAGTGCAGTGCGTACAGTCTGCCTGTGACTTTGTACTGCATGTTTGCACATGTATGTGCATACTGGACTGCCAATGTTGCACATGACACGTACAAACTTCGAAGTAGCCTGATGTGGCAGAGTATTTTACGTGGCACTACCGTTTGTCATACCTAATAATAATGACAATATCCAATCGAATGACTGAGAGGAGGGCATGTGATGTCATCTGTGTTACCAAAAGAATATTCGTTCATTCGTTCGTTAAGCCAAAGAATATTCGGCTACTAGGTGTTGACATTCGTTTCACCACTACATATTACTCAATCACCGCGATTCACCGGACAGATACCTGCTTCGACCATGCAACTTATTGTTAGGTCGAATCAACGGAGCTCGAGAGTCGCCGGCCAAACTGATCGCAATAAGGTCCATTGAGCAACAAAGCAGTTTCAAATCGGCTCGAACCGTCATAGCCAGAGCGCTCTAACTTTGAGAACACAAAGCTGCACTTATATCAGGCGAGAGAAAGCGCGGAAAACAACAGACGACCAATGCTGCCACGAGCAACCCTGCAAATCAATGCCAAAGACTGAAAGCACAATGATAAAGTGGTTAAAAGGATAAATACAAACCCGGAGGATGAAATGGGTGTTCAACTGTTTTGTTTTAAATCTGAGCAGAACCGAAAGTGGCTTAGAAGCGCCCATTTCGTCCTGAAAATGCGTACGCATGACATCACAAAGACAGCCTTTGCTCTACCATGTTGCAAGAAGCTGTCACATGTCACATGCTGTTACACATACATACATGTACTGTACACCACTCAACACCGGACAGTGTTGTCTTTCACAATGCGCCATCTTCCTTTCCAGACCACAACAGTGCGAACCCAACGGTATGTACATGTACGTTGCAGCTCAATGAAATCCGATCAAGGGGGTCCGCACTGGGCTCTGCACCCGTAAAAATCCAAGTGTTTGCAGGTCTAGGGCAGCACAGTGCCCGGTGCGTACTTGACTCATGCGATTGGATTTCAGTGAGCAGAACTGTACTTCAAGAAAGTCTGGAGTACTACAGTAACAGTTGCAACCAGCTATAACTCGACTTGTGGAGAGCAGCTTTGCCATCAAACACACACACACACACACACACGCAGGTGCTCACGCACACGCGCGCACACACATACACACATGTGCACACCCAGCCACCCACACACACACACACACAATGAATAGATCATCCATCATATCCTCTATCTGACTCATTTGATCGTGTGTAAAGTGTAAACACATTGACTCCTGATAGCATATATATTGTACCAGTAAAGCATATACTGCACCTTATTCTAGAATTCGGTACAGTGAGTTTGCAGACAGCAGTGAGAAACGACCTAAGAACATGATGACGTATCCTGCATGCCTGCGTTAGCAGACTATTAGGGTAGTTTTGCACCATGGAGCACACATCCGCAGGATGTCCATTTCGGAGAGAAACGCATTCTCCATTCGAAAAGGATGGGTGTGGGGAACTCCAAAAATGGCTTGAATGCGTCCCATGGGAACGTATCCAACAGTTGTATTAGCCCAAACTGGTTTGTTCATTCCAAGTTCAATTTCACATGGTATTTAAAAGTAAAACCCATGAAGAGAACAAGCAAGAGTACAGGCAGACCTCGCTTATCCGGTCCTCTTTTATCCGGATCCCTCGCCATCCGAAAGAAAATGGCCGGTTACAAATCTACAGCATACGTGATGCATCCAACATAAACGGTGTTCGGTTATCCGAGCCTACGACGCATGTCGTACAAAGCACGCACTGGACGACAACCACCATCGCGAGTTTGTGTTTTTGCCGCTTTCAAAACGAAAATTTCAACTTTTTCCCCAGCTTCTGTGTAGCATTTGCTATACTTGTAGTGATTACTATACTCGTAGTGAAAGTTTAGTGAAACCCTGCCGACTTCACACGGCCACAGACTTGCAGTGCATGCCTCGTACGGTATGAATCATGATCTCCAGAAAAGGTGACGTCAACGAAAAAATGTCATTGTAGGCCAAACCAAGAGGAGTTGCACACTCTTGTTTATGTACTCTTGGTACAAGCTATGGGTGACTTTCATTTACTTTGATACAGACTGAACGTACCACCCCCATGAGGCCAGAGTCCAGTTGGTTTCCACTTTCAGCCCACACATACACGCGGAGTCTCCATACATGTACCATCGAGAGTGCATAAACCAGGGTATGCAGCTCCTGTGGAAAGAGCCTGTGGTGAACTAGTGTTTTATTTCGGCCATAGTTACGCTATATGACCCATGACCTAAGCAAAAAAAACTCCTCTGCGGGAGTAGTTTAATACAGCATAGGTGCAGAGCTAGCTGCACACTCTAGTTTATGTACTCTTGGCAAAAAATCCTTAAAATTGTCCAAAAGTAATAATTTTAATTATTACTTTTGGACAATTTTAAGGATTTTTTGCCAAGAGTTAAAAAATCATGAAGTTACGAACACAAGACAAAATGGAGACCTGAGAAATTGATTGCGACATACCTTGCTCTCTGCTTATAATCCTTCTTTTTCTCCAAAAGTCCCACCTTCTGCCTCGAGCTCAACTGTAATGCCGAGAGGAAAATTGGATCACACTCAATATTTCCTGAGAAATATGACATTTGAGATATCGAATATAATTTACCTGCCCTCTTTCCTTATGGGCACGCCGATGCACCTTCTCGGCATTTTTGAAAGACGAGAACATATCTGCTTTGTAAACGACGCACCACACGAGCTCGCAACTCCAATATTCCAATACTAGTAGCACTCAAAATCTTCAGCACAATTACCCGGCCCGGTACAAATCAAACTTCTTGTTGGGAATTATCAATAATTTTGCGCGATGTCAAGATTATTCTTAAAAAAAACATGCATGCGCGATTTGCAGTGCAGTGTACCATGGTGTACAGTGCTGTACTATACTACGAAAAGTACGAGTGTTATGTAGTGTACGTGTACGTAGACCTACTGACCCTGTACGTAGATTTACGCCGCTAGCCACGGGATCAGGAAGTGAGAGTCCATGTACTTGTATTTTGATCACTTTGAGATACTTCTGTGCATGCGCAGGTCATTTTCTGTAGAATTCTCAACTCAACACATGCAGCAATCATGTGCCCATATTCGTCAGAATCAGCTGTTCGTGACATAATCGGAGAGCGCTGATTGGTTGGTTTACATTCCCGCTGCATTTCAGTGCATGTGAAGGAGATTTATCACGATCAAGAGTGATTATTTTCGTCAAATCCCATTTTGACATTCCTCTGTATTCCGCGTCAAGGCCTGCGGCCGACAACAACATCAGTATCGCTCTAAATTCCAACCAGGGCATGCTAATCTCTTCACTTCCCACTCCAAAGGCTCGCTTGGAGGTAAGGGCGGCGAGCTTTGCTTGCATTGTCCTCTTCCAGGAGTCGGGTCGACCTGTGTGATCCTCCTCCACGTTCCATAGCATGGAAGTACCACGTGGCCGTAGTCGGAGAGGACGTTCCCCTGCAGTCTGCTCGTCTTCCTCCACTGTGAGTTATTCCCAGTTTGCTGAGATATGTGGCAATGTTTTGCATGAGCTACTCTATCTCTCTTGTCGGAATTCTCGTGTCATTTTCAGCGCCGACCTGCGACACGCTCAACGACTCGAGTCGTTGCCAAAGCTGTGCCGATGGAGCATCTTGAACACTCCCTCCGTGTAAGTGAACCATGTAACACACGAACACACATGTACACCAGCATATGTCCTGTCGTGTCCCTCCTTCTCTCTCTGGGTCTGTCTTCCTATAATGTATTATGTGGTGTATTCTCATATGCCCTGCCTACAGGAGGCCGCTTTGAGGACGTGCGCCACTCCTGCTGCCAGCACTTGCTCATTTACGAAACGAAAATCGCGCACTGCTTTGGCCGCCATCGGTCAAAATATACACTCAATCACACCACCTTCAAGTGGTCACGGTACACCTGAAGCTTCAAGCTTCAGGTCCGGGAATTCGGATCCTGCAGAAAGCAAACAGCTTGAAAGTGATCTGATGTACCCGACTCCACCACCAACTCGCTTGTTCGCGAGTGGCACGTTGCGAGAGTGCTGCTGCCATTCACAGACAAATGTTTCTACGTTCGAGGCTCTCCACCAGCTCAGAGATGTCCTGGTAAAGCGGGAGAGAAACTACGACATTGACCAAAATTACTTGAATCGCCATGCCATGTTGGAAGCACGTATGCGTCGCATACTGTTCGACTGGCTGATGGAGGTAAATGCATTATTGTGTAGTAGTAGTAGTAGTAGTAGTAGTAGTAGTAGTAGTAGTAGTAGTAGTAGTGTGTGCAGCCACACCACTATGCAGAAGTAGAACCCCATACAAAGAGCATGCATGGACAATTGTCTCCCGTAAAAATGTATGCCGTATACAATGTCTTGTGCCGAAGGAGGGCTGTCCTGCCGGGGCGGCACTTTTGGATCCTTCACATCTGGTTTTAAGTCACATGCCCGATGCGCTGCAAGTACACTCATACCTTGTTTATTCGGGCAGTCCGGGACCGAGCACTAGCCGTAACTTTGAATCACATACATTTTGATGGGGAAAGGCCATATATGGCATATGACATCCCTATCCACAAAAAGTGCCAAAAGAGTAGTCCTATCTCCACTAATATTCGCCCAAAGGGTGTCCGGTAGACCAAAGAAGTCCCCATAACTTCGGGGTCCGGATAACCAAGTTATGAGTCTATAGCTACATGGTAGCCCTTCAGGTTCTAGCTATCAAAGAGTGAGTTATGGGGCTGTTGATGCTCGGTCTTCAGGACCGGCGGTGAGAGTTTGCCGTTGGTCCGAGCGTACGTTCAACAACATGAAACAGATCACAGTCACCCCGTCCCAGCACTCTGGTTTTTTCGGGAGTGCAGTTCTCATGGCAGATCCCAGTTGTTTTTGCATGGTCCCATTCAGCTCTTTTCGGTGCAAAATTTCAAACCTGGATCCAGATTGTGCGATCAATTGCATCCAGTGTACGATATTGAAATATATACTATTCATAAGGCATGCGTGATTGGCAAATTGCAGCATTGTCCTGCCAGGCATTGTAGAATGAGGATTGTGTTCCGCCCCCTGAAGGCCCATTTGAAATAATTGGTCACCACCTGACTTTGGTTGGTGTGTGTGGGGGGGGGGGGGGGGGGGGATGAACACCGCCCTCAATATGTCGAGCTCTTTGAAGCAATGGGTCTCTAACACACCTGTACCTGCCCCTGCTATCAGTATTGACTAGGTGCCTATCGATGTCAGCATAGACTCTTCACATTTTTGGCAGTGAATGGCTACTTGGAATGCCCCTCAATAGACATCCCTTGTTTTGCGGTTGACATTTACATGGAGAAATCATGACACAATGGTGGACTCACCAAGTGCATCTACATCTAGTGATCTAAGAACTTGCGTTTTTGTCGTTGCTTTGACATTGTGCCTGGTGATCCTCAGGCGCGTGCTAACTTTTTTCTAGATAGGACTTGCACTGTTCTTTGTGCCTCCCAAATGTTGGAAGTAAACAATCTATAGCCTGATGTTTATATTAGGAGTTTCAGTATATTGTATTCCTACAAATATATCCTAGGCAGTGCACATTTGCTGTCGCTACCAAAACAAGGAGAAACATGCGAATACAACCGTAGTGTGGTTTGCAGCCATATCCTTTTACAGCGCACCTCCATGCGTTGGTCCATAAATGAAACCCAGGCTATCTACGGGGGTACGGGTGCTCTTGAGACAATGGATTCCAAAAAGTGCACCGCCCGTACTGTCAGTTTTTTTTTTTTTTTACTGGGCTCCAGTCGAGCATACTTGATTGAGAAGCGACACGTGCCAGTGGTTGTGAGACCTATCTACTCCCACCATTAGCCACTGCATACACCCTGGGATATTCTGGGTGTCCGTGGCTGTTGTGAGTTCCCTCAGGAACGGAAACGAAAATTATTTTTTTGCGTACTTATGCTGACCCCGTGAATTCCACGGCAGAATGTCAGAAATTCCATGCCGAAAGCAGTGCTGTAAGCCTCCCAATATTCGCATCACGGAATGTTCACAGAGTATGCAGAAATTACCCAAGTCAGAGTGTTTGCCTTTGTGACTGTAGACGGTTGTCAGCATTGAAGCGGTTGTGTCCATGGCTGCTTATTACTTTGAGCTGTATTTGCTAGTCTTTAAAAAGCTTGTGTCAAGAATACACCTCCATATCCATTTTTGCTTTCTGTGACTTGGGCTTCAGGTGTGTGAAGTGATGGTTCTGCGCCGGGAGACGTTTCACCTAGCTGTGAATTTATTCGACCGCTACATGAGCTTGAAGCGTGACATACATAAAGAGAGTCTTCAACTCATCGGTGTAACATGTTTGTTCGTTGCTGGTAAACTTGAGGTAATATTTTGTTGTGTATTTGTAGTATGTACACTGTTGACACTAACGTTCGTTGATCTTGCCTGCCATGTTGCTGGTACATGACATTATACAACTTGACAGTGGCAATGTCCAACCTTCTCCAGGTGAAAGTTGCTGTCTGAGGGCATTTGACACCCTTGCATGATAAAATATTTAATATGAACCCCAGTGAATTTCAATATGTGGGTGACTAAGGAGCGAAAAAATTGGCAAGAAAATTGGTCCAGCTCTGACACCCTTGTGCACGTCACGGGTTTTATTCTTTTCTCCATGTGTATTTTATACATGTACATTATGATGCGTTTGTGTGCAGGAGATCTATCCTCCCAAGGCCAGTGCGTTCGCCTACGTCACCGATCACTTACACGAGGATGAAATCAGAGCCATGGAGCTGGATGTTCTGGTGGTGAGTATAGTGCATGTGCTCATCGGCAACTGCTTTGTGTGTGGTTGGGTAGGCGTGCGCCAGTGATTCTCCGTGGCATATGATCTTAGATTTAGATTTCAGATTCATGTTTAGATTAGTTGCTGACTTGAAGTCTCCCGTAAATAGATAAGTGTATACGTGTGTGTGTGTGTGCTGTTCATGTAGACTGTGAAGTTTCGCGTCAATGCTGTCACACCCAACACCTGGGTTGCGTTCTGGATGCTTTACATGCACACGGAAGATGTAGAAAGCACGTCAGAGTACGACTCAAGCCTATTTGTCAGGGTTATGGAGGTGAGAAGCTAAGAGCACAGAACAGTTATATTCCAATTGCTTTGATTACTGATATCAAATTAATTTACTGTACCGTATTTTTCGGAGTATAGTGCGCACCTTTGTATAACGCGCACCCCCAATCTTCATTGGGGGTGTGCACTTCAATCTTCATTGAAGTACATGCATTTCATATTCGGAGCATAGTGCGCACCTGCGATTTAGGGCCTAAAATAGCACATCTAAAGTGCGCACTATACTCCGGAAAATACGGTACCTTGTCTTGGAAAGATCTATCCATGAGATTCCCTTATTTAGGAATATATCCAAGGTTATTTTGCTGTAAGGACCCGACCTCGAAGCTCGGTCCCATGGGTCGGGGTCAGCTTGACCAAAACAAGAGGGACAATTTGTAGCCTCATTTTGGGCCTGTAGGTAGTCTCACCGCCAGTGGAGTCCTTATTGTCTAGGCCTTAGCGCATACGGTGCTGGAAGTAGGGAGCCTAACTTCACTCGCAGTGCTGAATTGCTAACATACATTCACTGGCGCAAATGTGTTTAGTGTGCTTGTTTATAGTGACACATGGCTCACAGAAACTCCTGTATGTGTGCGTGTGTGTGTTTTATAGCTTATTGACTTGGCTATTTGCGACGTCGCCTGCTTGCTTTATCCAAATCGAATACTAGCACTGGCTGCTTTCTTTGTGGTGACGAAGAACTGGAGTCTTCCGGCTAGTTTGGGTAAGGCATTCTAACTTTGGGCTTATCTTGTGACCCCTTTACCTATGTTTTCCTGACTGGGTATCGGTGGCTATTTATATAGGCTCCATGGATAAATTTATTGTCATATTTTTGCATAGCAGTTTCTGCTATACAAAATCACAATTGTGTAGCACTCTTTGATTTTGATTAGCATTTTTCTTTGAAGGTTGGGTGTTTACCACAATAGACACCCTTAGCAAACAACGGTAACGCTATTTTTTACGGTACTCGTACCTTGATCACCCAAATAGCGTTGAAGCTGCAGCGTATAAACGTTATGGGGGCTGATTTATCGTTGTGACCAACGGTACGTGTTTTAGCCAAATACTGCATAGTCCGTACGCATTTCACCTTGTATCGCGTATATGATGAAAAAATGGTTGTACCGCGCGAAATCAAAGCTATTCTCGTGGCAACAGCGTAGTAAAAATAGCGTGCATCTTGCTAAAGGTCGAACCCAAATCACAGTATTTTCCCCCTTACGATAATACCGTTACAACATAACGTTGTTTGCTAAGGGTGTCTATTGTCCTTCTTGAGAGTGATGCCTGAAGGCCCATTTGCAAAAAACCCGGACTGAATCATGCTTGTGCACGCAGATTGAGGGCCTGCACCACATACACTGCACTGTATGCATGTTACTTGACAGCGCAGGCTAGGCATGGACAGTCTGTATGTATCGCAGTTTTCTGCGAGTCATGGTGACTTTTGAGTAGCAGTAGATTGATTTTGCATCGCAAACTGCGATGCGATACAGGATAAATTCATCCCTGGGCTCGATTTCGTCATGGCGTCGATGTAATCAAAACGATACACGGCCATGATGGCAATGTTACCCATACAAAAAGACCATCCCACTGAATACAAGTTTCTTGTTGGATTTCCTTTTTTAAGTTTTTTTCCAATTTTCGGCGGCCTAATCTCCCTCTCTTTTAAAAGATAACTTCATTTCGACAATGGGCATGTTCAATTGGTGACGGAGCAGGCGTCAGCTTGGCAAATTTCTTGACCGGAGCGTTGAAATGTGTCATCATCAATTCAATAATTATATCATTGCTGCTCGTTTGCCCGTTTTCTTTACTCAAACTGAATTTCGAAAGTGAAAATCTAATGGTACTTCCTCCGTTAACAAAAACTTCGTGATGGAATTTTGAGGGGCTGATTTGGGCACAAACTGTTGTGAAATGAGTCGCAATCACTTTCTTGGCCTTCCCTGGCATGCCATTACAGAGGTACGATGCAAGGAAAGCGACCTTTCACAACAAGCCGAGCGGAATCGATGGTTGCGCTGTCGAAACATAGGTGATGACAGTCATGGCGAGCGAAACTGAAATACCACTTCTCCGAGGGGATGTTGCGCTGCTTGGCCTCTCTACCACTTTAGCACTGAGTAAGTTGGAGAGTGATAGAGACCGATAAAGCGGAGCAGCGAGTCCACACAATGAGCGAGTGAACAAGGAGCTGCTCCGATCGCACGGCTCAATGAAAATAATTCTGAACTCGAGTTCTTGTTAAACCTGTGCAAAGCCCAGATTCGAATGCTGATGACCATGCATTCTTTCAGAAGTCTGCAGTCCGATGCGAGTCGCGTGGCTAAAGGAAGTCGACTGGACTTGCTAGCCGCTGCGGTTCAGTGCTGGTATCCATTAGAGAAAATGGAATCAGTTTGGCTGTGCCTTTACTTCTCGTTTCGCGGAGTTCTGGAGAGCGAAGATGAAACCAGGGAGTCGTAAAATAATTTTCACGACTCCCTCAGGCCTGGTGGAAACTAATAATCGACATCGCGGCGGATCACGCAGCTTGAAAGCCAACTTACTTGAATGACTGCGACATCAAGGTCAGCAGAGGGTGATCAAAGAAGCCGAGGCAAGGCTGAAACGAGCTGAACAACGACTCGAGAAAGATGACGACTCGGGTACAGCAGATGACGACAGCGGCGCAGGTCAAAAATGAATCGAGCGAAAGCGACGCAAACTGAACTCTCTGCTCATTCCGCCAACCGTTTCTCTTGTAAAGACGCTGTACATAGGCTGAATCACCTTCGTCCAGTGATTTGCAGTCGATACAAACTGTTGTTGACCTGTTTTCGTATCCATCAAAATCCATCACGAAGTTTTTGTTAACGGAGGAAGTACACCCATTGATTGACATACCTTTCAAATTCCGGACTTTTGAGTTGTCTACGTCCTGTTGTCTTGAGGAGTTCCCTGCTAAACTTGACGGAGGCTTCATAGCAGGAGCTGTGGCATCACCTACTGGGCTTGGAGTAGCGCTCTCCCTTGCTCCCCTCCAGTGTGACACTGTGAGGTAATACAGTGTTCAACAGTAAAACTGTCTATCCTCCAAGCTAGTTATCCCCTTAACACAGCCATGGCTCGGAGCTAGTACTTCATACCGGTATTACTATTGCGCTTGTGCGGCATGTGAGAAACAAATCGTTCCACGAGTAGTTGATCCCGTTTACGACATCTTTTTCTCTTTGTATTCTGCTTTTAGGCTTCCACTACAAGGAAGTTCAAAGTTGTGCTGAGTGGTTGACATCCTACTATGCCATCATGAACCTCCATGGTTCCAGCTCTGTTCTTAGAACGTTTGAAGAGGTAAGTTTGTCACCTACTCCATGCCTCCTATTCAAGTCTACCGTATTATCTCTAATATAAGCACAGTCTCCAATAATAGCACGTCTCTAATAATAGAACACCTTGGGGCAGCATTCAAAAAATAAAGTGCTCAGTCTCCATTATAAGCACACTGTGTAAATTCATTATCTGTACCGGCGAAAAAACCCTGAAATGTGTGTGTGTCTGACATGAATTTGGCATGGTAACATGCCTCTGAAATGAGGTTGAAATAATAATGGAACAGTCTCCAATAAAGGAACGTCTCCATTAAAGGGGAAGTTAAGGCAAAAATTAAAATTTCACCAGTTGTAGTCTTCGGGGTGCTGAGTCGAATGGTCTTGGTCCGAGAAAGCTGAGACGCTCCCTTCCTACTTGAATCCCAATCGAACTCGCGCACTTCCACCAAAACTGGGTGACTGCGCCCTACTAGATGGGGATTTGTATGCAAAATGTCACTAAAAGTGCCATTTTGTTCTTATAAAAGCACGGATGACCACGATTGGCCCATATGTTGTAGTCTTTTGGACGCTGAGTCGACTGGTTTTGGTCCGAAAAGGCTGCGATGCAGCGTTCCTGCTTTATTCCCAATCGAACATGGTTGAACAAGTGGTCACGTGCTCCTGGGTGCCCAAATCACCTGGTCACCACGCCAGCAGGCGACAACTTTCACACCAAGGTTCAACTCGAGTTCAACTCGAGTGACAGGACTGCACCCAAAAAAGGTCAAACGGGCTAGTAAGTTGTACCCTGCAGGCACGGTGACCAGATGACTGGTGTACGCAGGAGCACGTGACCGCTTGTTCAACTATGTTCGATTGGGAATAAAGGAGGAACGCTGCATCGAAGCCTTTTCGGACCAAAACCAGTCGACTCAGCGTCCAAAAGACTACAACATATGGGCCAATCGCGGTCATCCGTGCTTTTATAAGAACGAAATGGCGCTTTTAGTGACATTTTGCATACAAATCCGCATCTAGTAGGGCGCAGTCACCCAGTTTCGGTGGAAGTGCGCGAGTTCGATTGGGATTCAAGTAGGAAGGGAGCGTCTCAGCTTCCTCGGACCTAGACCATTCGACTCAGCACCTCGAAGACTACAACTGGTGAAATTTTAATTTTTGCCTTAACTTCCCCTTTAATAGCACGGGGCGCCGGAGGTACATTGAAAAAATAAAGGACCGTGCTTATATTAGAGATAATACGGTAAGTAATTCAGGAGTGCTTTGTGAACTTTTGCTTGAAGTCTTTGCATTGGCTTTTGTTTCGCTGAAAGTCTCCCATGCAGACCTTGAATACTCCTCACTCTGATATTGCATTAATTTTGTAATCTGTTTTCTTGTCTGATGTGTAGACCTTTCGTATATACCTGTGTTGTTTCATAATCACCCTGGCAATGGGCCATGCCTAGAAATTGTGTAGATTTAGAGGTTATTGCAGGAAACTGACCGTGAATGTAGGCGATTGTGAAATTTGTTCTAGTTTATTCTAATTGATGTTTTGTTACTGAGTAGATTATATGCACATAGATCTTTACGTACTCATTTTCTTACCGATTGCTGCACCACGGTGCTACTAGTTGTTTAGAATCTGAGTGAGCCCTCTTGGTGGCTAAAATTACTGTCTCACCCCCATTCTGTTATTGATATTGTTGTTGATGTCAATGCTGTTGTTGGTGGCGTTGTTGTTTTCTTCCCTATTGCTGATGCGTATGCAGGTACCAGAGAATGAGGCTCTCAACATTCAAGATCACAAGTACTCTTTTGATGACTTTGTAAGTACCTGTTGCCAGAGTAGTTTGAACACCTTTCTGTGTCATCTGTTGCCGTCTTATCTGCCTGGTCTTGTCTGTGTGGCTGATTTCATGGAGCAAAGCTCTTACTTCCGCCGACTGATAACTTTTCTCTCTTGGAACTTATCATGTGTATGCCTACAACAGGTGTCGGGTAGAGATGGACCAAAGCAACCTCTTGAGTCACCGAAAGAGTTGCATACCCCAACAGTTCTTGCGCCCAAGTCCCTTGGGTTCAATCGACAGTCCTTGACTCCCGACTACTTGACGCCGTCGGATCAAATGTCCGAGGAAACGTAGCTGTACAGGTGCAGCAGTCCCGTTAACCAGTGAGTGATCGCCTCTTGCACAGCGCGCAGCAGCAGCACACACTGTTTATAGCATTGCTTGTGTCAGTCGTCCTGGTGCATCCTACTGTTTCCTGGTGTCACAACGGTGCCAGCAATATAACGACTTTCATCTTAGCTTGAGAAGAATTTCTGACTGGGGTCATGATTTTGTTCCTTTTTAATTTGAAAACCACGAAACTACTTACTACTTGCACAACCTGACAACAGGGTCTTGAAAAAAAACGTTGAAGTAATCCACTATGAAAAAGTATATATTAGAAAGCGAGAAAGTTCCGCTCACTTTCCACTCCTAGTAATGTCCGGATGCTTCAGATCAGAGAGCCAGGGACACCATACAACATCCACTACACAATTCATTCGATCTCTAATGCTTCGCCGGTATATCTGCTTTTAATTTCTCATCTGTTGCCCACCTCTACTGCTCCCTCTCTATGGTGTTTTGTCTTTGTCCTTATTGACCTTGTTCTTACCTCATTGACGTTGTGTTTGAGGAATGTGTCGCACAGCTCCATGTCGGACATTATGACTCGTGGGCTCCACCTTGCTTTCCTTACTTCACCTCTTCTTTTTAACCGTTTCTTCTTAGTTTGTCAGTGGCTGGTCTCACTTCTCTGTCTCAGTATGTTCGTCAGCAAGTTTTTTCTTTCTGCGTGACACACTTTTTAATGCATTTTAACAGTGCTACACAATCTGGTCGTCTGTATCTTTATTTGCCGATGGTGGAATCGCCCCTTTCTTTATTAATTCCGGGCAAGCTGATCTTTAGCTTTGAGTAGATTTATTGTGGCTGTTCAATTAGGCATGCTGCTACTTTTGCTTTTGTAATGATGATAGGGTTATTGACTAGTCCTGAGTAATGCTTATTATTGCTTCATGTTTTGTTTTTGGTGTAGAACTTCTACTGTATTGATGGATGTACACTTCACGTCAGCTAGCAATAGCTTGTATGTAGACCACAGTCAACATAATATTATTTTATCAGTTGTGAAGCGTCTGTGTTTTTGTGTACATGTTTGTCAGAGGGATTTTGCTACCAAGGCTGCAACACTGCACTATATCAAGCCAAGTAGAGATACTTCATTCGAAATGTGATATAGGTAGCCGTGTAGGACATTAAAACGCCACATTGCTTGTGGTGTGGATTTATAATAATAATACTAAATAGACCACGTCAAAGCAGCAAAATCCAATCCACACAAAATGTGCGGAAACGAAGAAGAATGCAGCGTGCAATTTCGCCCCTGCACAAATGACTTATTGTGGAACAACAACAAAGAAACATTCCAGACAGTTTAGAGCACTACATATGCATGCTTGGTGCTGGCGCGGGCGGTCATGTGCGCAACGCCCCCAAAACATGGTCCTTTGTCCTAGATCTTTGGAATGAACAGAAGACAACGAATCCGACAGACTTTTCCTCGGCCACAGAATGACAGACCTCTGGCAGGAGCGGTGATTGTACTTGGAACTATTTATAAATATAATATCTCTGCAAAACCCTAGAGCTATAATCGAACTTATTCCAGCATGCATTATCTCAGGAAGGAGGTACGGTCATTCAAGCTTCAGCGGCACGGCCTTGCCTTGGACACCCATGTCATAAAGATGATCAATATGTGCCTTGAATGCACTTGAGAATGTGGGAAGGCAGTTGTACTTGATGCTGTGCTTTTTGCAGATGTCCAGAATGATAGGTGCTATATCAGGATAGTGGTATTGGGACACGGACGGGAACAAGTGATGCACAGTCTGGTAGTTCAAAGCACCGGAGAAGAATGTGTTCCAGACACTACCATGCGAGTAATCCACACTGGTCTTGACCTGCAGTTTGGCCCATTCTTCATCGATCACATGCGCTTTACCGTCCGCTGATTTCTTCACAAAGTAATCGACGTCCTGTGAGATATGAGACACTTGGAAATTGAAAGCTAGCCAATAGCCAGTGGTGAACTCAGTGACAATGAAGAGGGGGATAAGCGCCAGCAGGGGAACATTCAGAACGAAGTAAGGTACTGCAAGGCGATAGAACAGCCAGAACGTCTTGCTACCAAACTGTCGGAGCACATCCTGCATGGAGATGGGGTTGACGCGGATGGGACCGTTCCAGTGTTTGCCAAATACCTCTAAAACGTCCTGAATTCGACTCTTTAGTGACAGCACACCGTACAGTGGTGGCAAGTAGAGATGCTGTAGCTTGTATAGAGCTTTCCACACCTGCGCCGGAACAAGACGCCGTGGATCACCTTCCAGGCTGACAGGCAAATCCGGATCAGAGCCAAGAACATTTGTGTAAATATGGTGGCCGATGACATGCTGGTTTCGCCATGCTACCATGCTCGAGCCGCTAATCCAATCAAGGCTGAGCCGACCGCAAGTCCACCACCACCATTCCGTGTGACCTATGGAGCCGTGCGATGCATCGTGCATCCAGTGTGTCAGTGGAAGTCCTTGCGCAATTCCAAGAACAATGGCGCCTGCAAGGCGAACTACCATAGGCATTGAGTGCCCCATTACATAACTGATGGTGTAAGCTGCCATGCCAGCCATATAGATAAAGGACATCCGCCACAATCCAGCAAAAGGAGCCTTGTGGTCCTTGCCCGTGCGCTCAAAGTAGCTACGCACTGCATCACGACACTCCTGGTAGAAGCCAGAATCAGGCAAAAAACTGGGATGCTCAAACGTCACGAGTTTTCCAATTTCATACTTGGCCAGCACGCGCTTGGGCTTGTCGGTGAATGGATGATATGACTCAAACGCATCCGTCGCATCCCTGCCGGCAGCTAGCAAGATGAATTCCTTTCCACCCGGATGAGATTGAACAAAGTTTGTAATGTCGTAAACGAGACCATGAACAGACACCCAAGCTGAGTCTGCAGAGTTGTGTTCACTGACTTCCTCCCAAGTAAACTCTTTCTTGTTCAGAGCCGATGACTTCTGCTTCTTCCTTCTGGAAGATCTGAGCCAACTGAAGAAATCCAGTCCGCAGGCAGCGATTTCAGCTGTAACTGCCCAAAAAAACAAAAGTGAGTATCCAGGCACGAACAGTCCAATGACAGCAGCCACAGGCAAACAAAGCAACAGGAGTTGCATGAAGTTGGGTTTGGATCCCATCTTGCAGTAAGTCTCTTCAGCCAGTCGTACTACAATAACTGAAATGCACCAGTAGCTTCTGCCATCGATATTCGTTCCGTTCCCGAGCCGGTGGCTATCCTGCTCTGCCAGGTACTGCCTACTGCCAGTACTGGTTCGTGCTCCAAAATAATTATAACAAGACCACATCGAAAAAATCGGCCCACGACAAGATCTCAGCTCAGATCAGATCTGACATGTCACATCAGCTACACAGAGTACATACAGTCAGTCATGTAAACCCTCCACATAACACTACAGATTACTATTACACTAATACTAGTGCAACAGCAAACGAAACGACGTCACAGAGTACGTCATTGTATGATATGAGCACGACATGCCCCCGTGGTCGAGCGTGGGCCATATATGCGCATGCATGCATGGCATGATTATACATCAGAGTCATCGATCTGGTCATCACGCGCGCGCATAATATCACCAAGACTGCAAGAGTACATAAACCGGTTTATGTACTCTTGTCTTGATATAATAATAATAATAATTCGCGGGATTCGCGTTGGCATCGCTTGAATGTTCAGAAACACACAAACTACTTTACAGGGTCTTGATATCACGATCGATTATCTCGTGATGATCGCGCGTTCGAGGGAGATGCTAGGGGAAATCCCCCTTCCCCAGCAACTCTGGCTGTTCGTTCTTTCAGTAGAATGCAGTTTCTCACCTGCTGTTTTTCGTAGAACCCTGGTATGGGTGTATCAAGACTTTCAAGAGTACATAACCCATGGGGTGCTGCTTTGAGAATATTATTGTAACTAATCACTTCTCAGTGTTACACCTTGCCTATATAGTTTGTGTAAGATACGGATGACACTGCAACATCTGAACTCATCTCAACATCCACTACACCATCACTCAATGCTCTCTACTTCATTGTTCACTGTTCAGGCACCATTGACTTTCTACTTCTGCGGCTCTTTTGCCCCTCTTCTTCTAATTTGTCCTGTTTTGGTTCTGATACAGTGATCATTAATCTGACCTTTCAAGTTTATTTCTTTTTCGCAGCATATTATTTTGTTATCCTCCAGGCTCCTGCCTTCGATGTCCAGCACAAGCGAAGAAGTGGACCTATCGGTTGACTTCAATGTGAAAATACTCGTATTATCATTAATAATCGACATTTGTGTATACTTTATTCATGCAATGTAAAACAACACCAAACTTGGATATGTGTTTGATTACAATCTGGGGGGGGGGGGGGGATTATTCAAGAGAGGGCTTTATATTTCATTGGCTTTTCTTTTTTCCGTCCTTCATGTTGCTTTCTGCCTTGACATCAGCATCTTCCATATTTGATTTCTGTTTACCACCACACAGCATAAGCGAAATCATCAATCATTTGATTGACGAGGACGCGAAAATGCAAATAATAATAATAATTTCTGAGACGAGCACTATTCAAGACATGCTTTGTCCTCTGGACTTCGCACGACTGTGCCCAGCCGGAAAAAAACACTGTTGCCTAAAACTTCCCCGGGTCAGTGGCAGGAGCCCTACACATACCGTCAAGAGTACATAACCCCAAGAGTGTGCAACTCCAGCTATGGGGTCTGCGATGGCAGAACTTCACATCACGTGATGAACCCGTGCACTCTGTGCATGATAGATACTGGGTTGTACGCAGCCCAGCTTTGGGTACAACTCTCTTGTGGTCACTTTGCACTGTTTGCCAGCATAACCTTTTGAACCATGTCACGTGATGTGAAGTTCTGCCGTCCCAGCACAGCATAGAGGTTGTGCAGGCAGTTGCACACTCTTGGGGTTATGTACTCTTGATACCGTATACTCTTGGTGTCGTCAAGAGTACATAACCCCAAGAGTGTGCAACTGCCTGCACAACCTCTATACTGTGCTGCGCATGCGACGGCAGAACTTCACATCACGTGACATGGTTCAAAAGGTTATGCTGGCAAACAGTGCAAAGTGACCACAAGAGATTTGTACCCAAAGCTGGGCTGCGTACAACCCTGTATCAATCATGCACAGAGTGCAAATAATGTGTACGGGTTCATCACGTGATGTGAAGTTCTGCCGTCGCAGACCCCATAGCTGGAGTTGCACACTCTTGGGTTATGTACTCTTGGTGTCGTCTATAGATGCCTGATTTCGTGTAATACATGTATTGGTATTATTGAAAACTTTGAATTGTTGGCTCATAGCAGTAACTTGTAAATATAAGAAGAGTTTTGTGCAAGAGCTCTTCCAAGAATTAAGACTTTTGCAGAGAAGAGAAGCATCTGAGAAAAAGCAGCCTAACTAGTACAGTCTGTACAATCATGCACATGCAATGCAAGCCTAATGAGTACATAATGTACGTCTAACGTGTACAAGTCAAGCCATGATATGATAGCAATAGCCTAGGTGAGCTGAGGTGGCTGTGAAGCAGCAGCCTAGTCTTTCCACAGGGGAACATCAACGAAATCGGCAACATGCAGATCCTGCGTGTCAAGATCCTGGCTCATCCAGTCCATGTGAAGGTGAGTTGTGTTCACTTCAAATACAGCATAACCAAACTTGACAGCACCAAACACGGTCCTGTATGAACACAAAGACATGGACAAGTACACATACGCGAACACACACACACACACACACACACACACACACACACACACATACACACACACGCGCGCGCACAGTGTTGAGCAACATAGACAGCAGCAGTTCCATCTTCAAGTATTAACTCTTGAGGCACCCTCCTCGATTGCAATGCAATCCACGTTTTCATCACACACAGAGTACAATGGCCTACTGGAGTGCCAAGAGAAAACTGGCATTCTCATACTGTGCTTTGAAGCATTGCAGCCACTAAGGTTGCGCTCACACGACGTGCAAAATGACGCACAAAGGAAAGTGACTATGATGATTGGGTCGTGTGCCACGAAAATCAAAATCGCACCGAAAAAACGCTTGATCGGCACCTCGAGAGGGGGTGATCAAAGATAAAAGTATAATCGCTGAGCGCTTATGCATAATGTCTGATGCACACCATTCTGTTCGACTGCTTTTTCTGCTCGAGTGCCAGTCAGTTTGTTGTTGTTCAGTACTCAGATCGCAGAGTAGTGGAGAACTCCGGGGATACGTTGAATCTGCCGAAGCAAACAACTTCTAAAAGGCTTGGACAGCCCGCCGAGCATCATGGTCCAGTAGTAAATGTTGTCATAGTTGCGTGAGCGAGATTAAATCACTGTGCAGCCAGAGCTGCACGCCTTGGCTTCTCCTTCATCTCGTGAAGTACATGAGTATACTGAGAAGACAACTTCAAGTCTCAACAAAAAAAACACTAGAGCAGCATGTCGGTCATCCACCGTGAGCCGTCTTCTCCACGACGAAGAAAAAACTTGGCGGCGATCCACATGAATTTTTCATTTCTCCGTGCGCACGCGTGTGGAGAATGTCCCGATGATTCACCAGAGAGTAGTGAAATAGGTATTTTGCTAATCCCTGATATTTGTGTGCATCGTAATCGTACACGTAAAAGTGTCGTGTGAGCGCGCTAGTACCTTTTTTCTCGCTCACCAAGCAACCTTCTCGCATGTTTTTTATCGTCGTGCGAGCGCAACCTAAGCATGCAAACCTTTGGTTGAGATTGACTTGAAGGCCCGGTGCAGTGAGAACACTGTAAAATGTCTAAAATCCCACCAGAACGCCCGTCACTTCCAACCATGTGGTAGGGGCAGGCGGCTGAGTGATCATTTCACGGTTCTGTACAATGCAGCCCTGGGCTAGATAATCAAGCGCTGCACTCGGACAGCGCAGCTGCTGCATGACGTGAAGACTGCAGTACGGAACCCGGTACGTGCCAAAATACATCACTCTCAGTCCAAACTCCAAAGACACACCCGTGCACCACATACGTGTACAGAGTCGGCCACTCAAGCGTCGTGAATTTTCTCACCGCAATGGCGCGTTTCGCAAAGGTATCGGTCGCCGCTACCGGGTGGACTCCGTCGCACCTCCCACAGAATTGTGCTCATGGAGCTGCCTTCACTGTCCCGCATGCTCTGTCATGCCCAGTGGGTGGCTATCCATCTCTGCGGCACAACGAGCTGTTGACCCTGACTGCCGCCATGCTATCCAGTATCCACAGCAGCTCACAACATCAGCATTTAGCCAAGCATTCAGCCATTATCCGGCAAGCCTTCTGTCATCACCTGGACTGCTATCCGTGCATGGCATGGACCAGATGCAGGTTACGGTTCGCACTTCTTTACTCACCACATTGGATAGGACTACCGGCAAACCACAATTTTCTCAAATTCTATGCTACAGAATAAGCTTTCATTTTGAGGGGCATCTCATGCCAAATTCGTACTGCGGACATCCTTCAAATTATTTCCGTAAAATAAATACGAACAAATACTGGCGGCTGGCAACACTGTGCATCATTTGACCCTGTACATAGGGTAGTACCACGGCTATTGAGTATAATACAGTTGCGCTCTGTGAAATCCGACCCAGAGTGCGTATTTGGTGCCCTCAACTAGCACGCTCTTGACGCCCTGGAAGTGGCACGAATGCGGCCCGGACGTACAAATACAATGATGTAATCGGAACTAGTCCAGGGCGCCAGCTTTGCATTTCGGGTCGGATTTCACCAAGCGCAACCGTAGTTGTTTACGTTCCTTGGAGATTCGTGATACTGAGGCCTCCCTCTACAGTCAACTTCGCTAATAACGACTGCGGATATAACGACAATTCGCGAATAACGACAGCATTTCCATGCCCAGAGCAAAGTCCCTTCCAACTGTAATACATAATAATGAGACTTCGGGTATAACGACACTTCGCGAATAAGGACACTTTTCTGATGCCCCGCCGAGTGTCGTTATAAGCGAAGTTGACTGTACATGCATATGTCAATGCTAGACTGCCGCTGTGTTGGTGTTACATGCACATGTCAATGCTAGACTGTCGCTGTGTTGGTGTTACATCATCTCTAAGGAGTCTGAGTCACACTCACCATGGAGCTGGGAAAGTAGAGCTTGGTGATTGCAGAGCTGCACCGGCTGTACCAGCGACAACGTGCACGGGAGCGGTGCCTGGCTCCTTGCAAACATTCTTGATGACGGGGCAAGAGCGCATGTAGCTGCACGTCCCATTCAGGAAAAACAACAACAACGAAAACGGCACAGAGGGAGCAGTCCAGTTATGATTCAATCACACTCTGATCATGATAGTCTGCCAGCACACCAAACAGTATGTATACAAGTACCATGATAACATTATTATACTGTGCATGCTGATGAGTACCGAGATTGCTTATTGACAGCTGGGCACGTGGGTTAGCGTATCCTTAAAGCCTCCTGATGGACTAAATCGTGTTTCTACTACTGTGCAGTAGTGTCGTGACCCGAGGTCGACGACGCGCAGCCATCCTAGCCAACCTGGCAGACGAGGGGCCAGCACCAGCTGACAAGCGCTCAGCTGACTGATGAGTACGAGTCGCGCCAGCACCGCATGTGCACAGTACGGTAACTCACTACATCTCTTCTACTCATTACATCATTCCTACTCACTACATCATTCCTACTCACTACATCATTCCTACTCACTACATCTAAACAATCGACGAGGAGAAAATAGTCGTAAAATGGCAATAAATAAGATATTAGGGGCCGTCCGTAAATATCGAACTTTTTTCACCAAACGAATTATTTTAGTTTAGACCCAACTCCTCCCTCCCTCCCCCTCAGAACATAAAAAATGTTGACATACATGCATATACAACAGCCATGTACATGAATCAATGTTTTCTGAAACGAAATTGGTCAACCCCCTCCCACCCCATAACGAAATTATTTCGTTTTGTGAAAAAAGTTCGATATTAAAATTAATATCAAACTTTTTTCACTTTCTTCATTTTTTCCTGTTGTTATGAGTGGGGTCGTCCATAAATTTTATGGACGACCCCACTCATAACAACAGGAAAAAATGAAGAAAGTCAAGTTCCATAACGTTGTCGCAAGGTGTTTGACGATTCCTGGTTTAGTGTTATTCGTTCCGCACGTTTCTTCAAGCACTTGCAGGTGTTGGAAGCTGTGTATATTCGTACTCGTGACCCTGTGCTATGTAAACAGAAAGAAAACGTTGTATCACTCACACTCTTCAAGTAATACACACGCACCATTACATTCATTCACACAGTATCACATTCATCTGCCACTACCTTTCTCACATACACTACATTCACACATTGCAAAGGTGCAAACTTCGCTTTTTTGTACTTGCTGGCTGCTGTATTTCTACCTGAAACCATATTAGCTACATGTATATAAGTGTGTGTTTTAGTTATTACATTTTTATGTGACGGCGTTCCACTGATGACAGTCACAAGAAAACGTTATGGAACTTGACTTTCTTCATTTTTTGCTGTTGTTATGAGTGCACAATTTCTTATTTATTGCCATTTTACTCACTACATCATTAGACATAACTACTACGTAGCCTTTATACGCACTTTAATACTACATAATTATACAACTGCTACGATACTGCATAATCTCGCGCCTTGTTCTCTAACTGTCATAGTCTACTAGTATCTTCTTCCATTCTTGCATTTTGTATCCCGCCGTTATGAGACGTTCAATCATTATGAATCTAGCTTTATCCGTTACTTGTCCCCTTGTCCCGCCGTCTAATATGACTAGTGAGTACAGTATGTGTGCTCTGATTGGTTGTTGTTAGTTATTGTTATGAATATAAGTTCCTGTCTTTTATATGTTCGTCCTCTCGCTCCGGTACTGCTTCAAATCTTGATCTCCTCTTTCTTACTCTACCTCTGACCTATCTACAAGGTATGTCCTTGGAAATGGAACTCTTGGTGGGCTGTTGAATGATGGCGTGCATATATTGTGCAATTGGGATTCTGGGTCTTGCTCACACTTCGTGGCGGTCCTATTTGGTGTTGTTCGCAACGCAGGCTTTTGACTGACCCTTGGGGTCGGGTCATGACATTTGGTGCTGTGACCAGGATACGTCACTCAATGTGAACTAATCCTTGGTTCTTTTTCTGGTGTGGCGTTTTGTCTTATCCAGAATGGCACAGGAAATGATAGAGGAGCTCAACGCCCTTACGCGGGAAGCAGGCCAGGGGCGGGAGACTCCGACTATGCAGAGCTTGGAACAGGCAATAGCTCTATTAGAAGGCGTGGGTCGACCCGACCAAGGGCGACACTTGAGGAAGTTGAAGGAAGACCTGGACTTTCTGTCCTTGATATCCTTCAGGATATTGGGTCGGCATGCCGGCCACCGCACGGATGAATCAGAAGAGTCACCGAGAAAGAAAACTCGTAAAAACTCACGTAAGCCCAAGAAAGACAAGGCGTCTACTAGTGGCAAGAAGGACTCGAGTACTGACACGGAAATCCCAACGGACTTGCCAACTACCCCCGACAAGTCCGCGTCACAGTGATATGCGGCCTCTTTATTGGATCACATAATAATATTGAGAGACGTACCGCCACCAGGACAAAAGAACACAACGACGACGCACGCAACACAGTGAGCGGCACCGCACTGGGTGAGCATTTTGCAGCCAAGCATGCATCTGAACCATTGCCATTGGGAGCAACGGCCTTCTCGGGTATCCGGGTTCTTGGTTCTGAGCATGACCGCCCCAGGAGGAGGATTCGAGAGGCCATCAACATCAGGGAGCGATCCCCGGAAATCAACAACAACAGTGGCTGGGACCTGCTATAACACCACCTGTGCGGCCTTATTGGCTTCTAGCATGCGTTCTGGGTGATACACTCGGCACATGTGTGTGGGCAATGCATGCCTTCACGTACCTTGGCTACCACCTTTTATGGAGTATGCTCTTCCACATTCTACCATGGTCTACAATCATCTTCCTTGCTCAGCTACTTTAAGCATCATGCATGGGATGTTGTTGTACTGACCTGTGCGCTTTGCCGGCATTGAATACAGCTGTTATTTACTGCGAGTGGCGCGGGGCTCTACACACCTCACTGGTGGTGTGAGACTGGAACTGTGCTTGCATCCCTGCTGTAGCGCAGTATCTACTTTCCTCGCCGTTTGTGCTTGTGTTGTCATGTACATGTAGTAATGCACACCCGCCATGACGTGCTTTGCACTTCTCTGCTCGCGCGCTGTCACTATGTACCGCGCTTTGCGTGCTTGCCTCCTTCTTTTATACTGCTGTTCTTTCCATGTCCACTTCATTCCTGATGATGGTCATAAAGACCGAAACGTTGTAATGATACCTCTAATGGATTTGTGTGAAATGCAGTGCTCTCTTGAGTGTAGGCAGGTTGCCTGCAAACGATTCAAGTATAATGAAGCTGCGTGAAGCGTCCTTCAAAATTTTGCATAATAATACTATTATGTCAATTCAATAAAAGTATTGTTATCTAAACCTGGTTGCGCTCTGATCTCATTTTCTTGAGATTGTTTGGTCAGAACCTGGCGGCATGTATAAGCCTTTTTTTTACATGAAGCAAGGAACCTGGGCATATATCTAGAACCGATAAGTAGTGTACTCGCAAGAGGGCTGCTTCGGGACATAAATATTCGGCAGTGACATTGACATACAGGGTTGGGTCTTTGGTCTGTCGTCTTGTCAAGATGTAGTCGTTTTCCGTGGTCTTGTTTATTCGTCAATGAAAAGAGTGTAAAAAGGCAGTCCAGTGGTGGCGGTTGAGCTGATGCAGTGATGGAGAAGTAATGTTACGATTAAAACATTCTTTTGTTAACACGGATGACATCACACGCCCTCCTCTCAGTCATTTTATTGGATATTGTCACTACTATCAGGCATGACAAACGAAGGCACATATTTCTCCTTCATTTCTAGGTCAATTTTCACAAAATCCGCAGCTGAAGTGCATTTTGCACGCTCCAAAACAGCTTGAGACGTGATTTTTCGTTTGACCGCCATAACTCCATTCCAGGACCTCAGATCGCGTTCGGGTTGCTTCGAGACGACAGCTGAGAGTTTTCTAATGCCGATAGACCTTTCGATGAAGCGATTCGGTCAAGTATTCGCGAAGTTACGGAAGTTTGAAGTTGCCTGGTAAACTCTGCATACCGGGTTAACGAATATTCGCCATGAGAAATATTTGTTCGAATGTGACAAACCGAACGAATATTCGAATACCGGCATTCGGTATATTCGTTTCACCACTAGTCCATTCAGAAAAAGATGGACTTCTAGCTTTTGGCCATAAATGGGTCAAACGTTGAGTTTTTTTAGAATTTTTTTCTGTAATCCCCTATGGAATCCTCTTCCAATTATGTTTCTGAAGTCTATTTCCCCAAAAAGCAAGCCATGGCAAGAATAGGATTTCGGCCAGGTTTTGCCCCCAAGAGCACTGAATATGAGAAACCCATCAAAATCCAGGCCGTTTGACACTGCCTGCAACAGTGCATTGTACGGTTCGAACCCCAGTTCAGGTACCCTTTTTGGACCCTTTTTCAAATTTCAAATTTCCCAGCACTGCACTGTGTACGATAAAATCTTGAAAAATCGCCTAATACGGGAGCTCGCCAGGGCCAGGGCCCATCTTTTTGTGAATGGACTGTAGTGATTTTCATCTTTCAGGTTGGAGAACTGTCTCTGCATCATCTGAGTTTCGTCTTTGATTACAACACGACCCGCGTGCTTCAAAGCCTATTCAGGACTTTTGCGCAGGTTCAAGCACTAGTATCGTTTCTTAATTCGAAATGCAGCATACCCGCGGAATTCTATGTGGATCTCTATGTATGAACCTTTGATTCAGGCTAAGAGCTCTGGGATCCGGGCACTATTTCGTGTAGTGGTACGGCTAAGTGCTTGCTTTGCAAGCACCTCCATTTTGCAAGCACCCCGAAGGCAGCAATCAAGTGGTTGTGAGATCCCACTCACACAACAAGCTGTGCCCTGGTGATGGGTGCTAAACAAGTGGTGTGCTGTGTTTGCTTCACAATGTGCTTACCTATGATAGTGTCCCGAGAACATGATGTTCACTTTGTACTTGACAATCAAGTCCTCAAAGAGTTCGCGCTCGTGGTTGGCAACAACATTGTCCGAATGAGAATCAGACTCATTGGAATACATAGGACGATCTGCGGAAACAAACACAAAAGCAAATCTAATAAAAATAGAATGAAAGCAGTGGGGCAATACCAACACAAGACCAATATCACAATTAGCAGTTCTTAATGGCACAGGTTAGTTGGGTTAGGTAAGGTATCCTGCCCTTGCTCTCCTTCATCATCTAGAGAGTTTGGGAGACACTATGTCTTCATTGAATGGAGGAAGAAGGCTGTTCTCAATAGGTAGTTTCAACGTGAGGGGCTTGCTGTCTGCTACGAAGAGGAGTGTCTTGAGGAAAGACCTTGCATTGTATAAGGTCGACGTTTGCACTCTCCAGGAAACAAACATTTCAAACCGCATTGACGAGAAGTCGAATAGATATCGTATCATCAGCTTCCCTTCAGAGTGCCGACACTACGGCCTGGGATATGCAGTGCCATGCAGACTTGAAAGCAAAATCCATCGTTTCTGGAAACTTTCGGGTGGAGTTGCCGTTCTTATGTTATCCTTTGGAACATCTCGTCTTGCACTGATCAATGCGTTAGCTGCTACTCGGCACTGGAAAAAGCCAAAGACGACATCCACCGGGAAACGATCACGTTGATTGCAGGTGGTCTTGTCGTGACCCGAGGTCGACGGCGCGCAGTAATCGTAACCAGCCTGGCAGACGAGGGATCAGCACCAGCTGACAAGCGCTCAGCTAACTGATGAGTACGAGTCGCGCCAGCACCTTAGTATGGTAACTCACTGCATCATTTCTACTCACTACATTATTTCTACTCATTACATCATTTCTACTCACTACATCATATAACTACGTAGCCTTTATACGCACTTACTACATAATTATACAACTGCTACGATACTGCAATAATCTGGCGCCTTGTTCTCCAACTGTAATAGTCTACTAGTATCTTCTTCCGTTCTTGCATTTTGTATCCCACCGCTATGAGGCGTTCAATTATTATGAACCTAGCTTTGTCCGTTACTTTGTCTCCCTGTCCCGCCGTCTAATGTGACTAGTGAGTACAGTATGTGTGCTCTGATTGGCTGTTGTTCGTTGTTGTTAAGTCCCTGTCTTTGTTACGTTCGTCCTCTCGCTCCGGCACTGCTTCTATCTTGATCTCCTCTTTCTTTCTCTACCTTTGACATATCTACAAGGTATGTCCTTGGAAATCTTGGAACTCTTGGTGGGCTGTTGAATGATGGCGTGCATATATTGTGCACTTAGGATTCTGGGTCTTGCTCACACTTCGTGGCGGTCCTATTCGGTGTTGTTCGCAACGCAGGCTTTTGACTGACCTTTGGGGTCGGGTCTTAAAATTTGGTGCTGTGACCAGGATCCGTCACTCAATGTCACTCAATGGCACCAGCTCTGCAAGTATGTTACATTTGGCAAGTGTAGTATCTAACATTGAGAAAGAAACACCATTATTTTGTCAACACTCAACGTCAACTCCAATAGCATCTTATCACTCCTATCATCTTATCACTAATGATTGAAACACTTTAATTATCTCGTCTCAGCCTCCGGAAATAACCGGGACCGGAATGTGAATTCATGTACATGTGTGATAGCTAATATAGTAGGTAGAGCACACTATGGCTCCACCATCTAAGCACCTACACTCCTCTTTGTTTTCGGTTTGGTCGACATCTCTGTTTGACACCATTTGCTGCAGTGTCTCTTCCTCTTTTCAGCATAAGCGAAAGTGTGGATTATCGATTGACTCTAATGCGAACATGCAAATAATAATATCTCGAAGAAATAATGGCACAGGGTGTTGTAGAGGATTCCATGGCTCTCGTGGCCGTAGACAAAGTGACATCACGCGAGGCTGCACATCCTCCTTCAATATCATAAGGGCTACTGACCCCTACTGTACAGTGCATGGTTCAACTTGCAAACAGCCCTGCTTTCCCTATGTTGCTGCTGTGTTGCATGCATACATGCAGAGAAGACTACAGTGCTGGCTCATTGCAACCGTGTAGTACAGAGCAATATGCTTGCATCATCATCATCATGCTGCAGTACTCCACATGTGGAGCGATGTGGCTTTTTACAACCATGCAAAAACTAACACAGATGCCCCCCCCCCCCCTTCAACTTCAAACTGGCTACACCCCTGATTATTACAATAGCTTGCAAAAGAAGCAAACAACGAAGTCGTGTGTAGACAAGCTGCCAGTGTCTGTCAAACGCTGCTACATCGTGCACGTCATATGCCAAGGTGTCACTGCTATTACAAAACAATGGCAATCTAGGCATCAACACAATCGGACTTACGTAGTGTCACCACCTATCCGCCACGAGTCACAAAGAACACACAAGAGAAGAGGAGAACACACCATTCTTAGTTGTTACACTACAGTGCAGTGATGCCCCTTGTTAGGAAGCAGGAAAAGCCTTGTGTCCTGACATAGAACAAACCCTGTGTTATTTTCAGTCTTATGACACGAAACAAAAGCCAGTGTTATCAGGTATCAAGTACATGTACTGTAAAAGCAGAAATTTTCCGCGGTGTTTTATTTTCGGTAACTTCGGTACCGACAATTTTACCTAAAATAAAACGCACCGAAAATTCCAGTACTAGTACTAGTACACTTACCTGGGAAACGGGTTTACCGAAAATTTCCCCCCACCGAACCGCCGATTTAGGAGAATATCGAAAATATTACACCACCGAAAATTTCTGCTTTTACAGTACCCCAAGGTGTATTATCAGGGTCAGTCTGTGCAGCTCGAGCAGAGTGAGTGCTCAATGCAGAGCAGTGCAGCAGCGAGTAGAGCCTCTCAAGTAGGTGTATTATGTTTTTTCTTGCAGAGCACTATGTCTTTGGGTTGGTTAGAAATGTTTTGATGTAGACTTCCTTGCCATTGGTCTGGTCAGTCACTCTAAGCTCTTCTAAGGCAACATATTAAACATGGTTAAACAGCCAGCAGTTTGGGGCTGGAGAAGTGCCGATCTAACCACAGTGCAACACCCATTTCGTGCCACAGGTTTACATAAATTTGGTAAGCAAGTTGGCATTGTGCACCCAGTCTACACTGCAAAAGGGTACAGCGCTACTTACCACCCAAGGTAGCACCTTGCGGTCAGTTGACGAAAGAACACTTTCCAGCCACTTGTACTGCAGACAACAATGACACCACCAACAGCACAACAATACTATCAACACAGCATACAAAATGAGAGAGAGAGAG